AGAAAAATAAAGATATTATAAATAGTATAGAAAATAATTTTTAACATTGAATAAGCTATTATAAGTATACACTAGACCGCCATTTTCCTCTTAATTACCACGAGTTTGAAACGTGTAATAAAATACAGGCAGATTAATTTTTTTATCAAAAAACGCTACACATGATATTAAAATATACGATATAAACAAATCAATACAAAAGTTGATACTTTGAACATTAGCTGAAGAAATGTATATTAACATAAACAGGGTGCCACCCTCCTCATAGGAGGAGGGAGGGTCAGGGTGAGTCCCACCATGAAATATCTGGGGCTCATTCTTGACGGAGGGTGGACCTTCGTGCCTCATTTCAAGGAACTGGGGCCGAAGGTCGTGAGGACGGCAGGTGCGCTGGGAAAATTCCTCCCGAACCTCGGAGGACCCAGCGCAGCTTGCAGGCGGCTATACTCTGGGGTCTGTCGGAGTATAGTCCTGTACGGTGCTCCCGTTTGGGCTGATCGCCCAATGAGCCGCAGGAACAAAGCCCTGCTGCGCTCTGCGCAAAGGGCTCCTGCGGTGAGGGTGATTAGGGGGTACCGTACGGTCTCCTGGGCCGCAGCGACTGCCCTTGCCGGCGATCCGCCTTGGGATCTCGTGGCGTCGGTTCGAGCCGAGTTGTTCTCCTATGTCTCGGGTAGGAGGGCACTCGGCGAGAACCCTTCGTCGGAGGAGATCCGAGCGGTTCGTCAGCAGGGGGAGGAGCGCCTTATGCGGGAGTGGGGGGAGGACCTGGCAGAGCAGCCGTACGGTAGACGTACAACGGCAGCGCTTCGCCCGGTCCTAGAGCGTTGGATGAGGCGGAAACGCAAACCCCTCACTTTCCGTCTGACGCAGGTCTTAACCGGGCACGGGTGCTTTGGTTACTACCTGTGTCGGACGGCCAGGAGAGAGCCGGGAGAAGGCTGCCATGAGTGCGGCGCTGCGGTGGACTCGGCCCAGCACACCCTCGAGGTGTGCCAGAGATGGGCTGCGCAGCGCCAAGACCTTGTGGCGGCTCTCGGCGGAGTGGACCTGTCGCTTTCGAGTGTCGTGGAGAAGATGCTCGAGAGTGATAGGTCCTGGTTGGCGGTGTCCTCCTTCTGTGAGACGGTCATGTCCACGAAGGAGGCATCTCAGCGGGAAAGGGAGAGGGCGGCTGATGCTCCCTCCCCCCGCAGGCGACGTACGGGGGTGCGACAGAGGCAATATCTACTCCTCCAATAGCACCCCTGTGTTCCGGGCTGGGGTCGGCGTGGTAACCCGGCCCTTTTGAAAGCCCGGCGTCGTCGGGGTGGTCCTAATTGCCGGGATCGCCCCCATTCTCCGAGGGAGTAAGTCCGGTCTTTGCCAGGACCGGCCAGTCGCTGGTGTGCCCTGTCGCTGACAGATCCGGGGTACACCGACATAGCGGCCGATGGCTTTCGCAGTGGTTTTAGTGAGTAGGGGCCTGCCCAGGCCGAGCCTCACACATCCCTTCCGGCCCCACTAAGGCCGGTTGGACGGCTCGTAAAAAGAGTTTCCACTGCGTCATAAAAAAAAAAAAAAAATAACATTAAACGAAATGCGATATCAAACTTTATTATAATAAATCATCAGAATTTTTTATGTTATATATAAGAAACAAATAATATTTTTCAACAATAATCACAATTCAAAAAAAAAATCATCAGTAAAATCCAAAAAAATATTTGCAATAAAATGTTATCACTTATCTATTGTTCATTAAAATATCATTAATTTGACAATCTTGTAAACAAAGCAATTGACCACGATTACTCCGTTCATAAGTACAATTGTATGCCAGTCCTGATAATAATTAAATCTCAATATATAATTCCACAGCAGCATGTCATGCTACATACGGATCGTGGACAGTTTTCCATTTAAATCATCACGCGTTGTAGTATTAACGTACTTTATTGAATGAGAAAGAAGAAAAGGTTAGTTCGTATAGTAGTGAAGTGTACTAGGACTATTTACACTATCCAGAAGTTTAAATGATAACTTCATATGAAATAGACGACATATAAAACAAGGTAAATCTCACGAAAATCATTCATATATGTATATGAATTTAATACTAATAAAAAAATGACATATTTTTATTAATACCTAATACAAAATGAAATCTAAATGAAAACGAAACTATTTCAATTTATGTGCTTTTTGAGTCAAACTCTAGCCACACGGACCAGTTGAAAGATAGTTGAGTTATTAATTCACGAAAAATATTATTCATCAATTATCTATAGGGATTTATGTCACTGTTCTTGAAAAATATACAAAAAAAGAGAAAAGTTTATTAAAATATAAATGAAATACGATGTCCTAGAAACATATAGTTCTATACTAAACTTGATAGTATTAGTTATTCTTTATGCTAGAGTAATTGGGCCGCTTGATATATAGAGTAAAATATATTTTAGTTTTTACATATACAGTGAAATCAAAGAATATGTTTCCATGAAAAAGTATTTTAGTTAACTTGCATACAAAAACCAAATTTTTAACCTGCGACGCAAACGAGGTTTGTTTTTTACGTTGATGTCTGTGTTTGTGTGTGTTTGTCTGCGGCATTGTAGCTCTCAAACGAATCCTCCGACTACAATACGGTTTTTTTTAATTTCAAATTTCCTTGCGGTTCTTCTTAGCAGTTAACTGTGTTTGTTTAACATCGGTCCAGCAATGCAAAAGCTCTCTTTCAGTATTGGTAAGATATTTTTTGATTAATTACCTAACACGATTAAATGCTTCATGTATACCAGTATACTTATTAACATAACAATAAATACGTTGGTGGTTTATTAATTTTATATTTTATAATTTTCTGATATACTACTTTATTACTTACATTACTTTGCATATATGTTTTAAAACTGATTTCCATATTTTAATTATTAATGTATCTGTCATAATAAAATGTCACATATCGAAACTGAATCTTTTGCGTTATATATTTTTTCGTTGTCTAACTAAACACAAATACTTAGATTAATTCACTTTTTAATATCTCATCATTAACATTGTAACTAACTTTTCAAACTACATAATATATGTATTTCGTATCCTTATATAACCGAGTCACTTTGTGAATCACACATCTAATAGCTCAATTTTTTTGAAGAATGCTGCACCTGTCATTGTACGTGATCACTTTAAAATCAAGAGCCGTCGTGATTATAGCTCGGCTCGTTATATGATCGATGCGTCTGTAAAAAAATAACACTTCAAAAACAAATATTGGAATCACGAGGGTCGTTCGCACTCCGTAATAAGCGAAGCCACGGGCGATGACGCAGATAGTGTCAATTTTGCCGCCAAAAATCATTCAAACCCTTATACCTCAACCGTAACCTATAATTTGAACGCTCCAGCGACGTTAGTAACAAAAACTAACACGCAATTATATGCCATCGGTTAAAATTAAAACACACAAGTCTTTTAAAATATGTATTGATAAGAAAAATAAAAAAAAATCATGTAATTTCGTACGATTTATTCCGAATAACCTTTAAAAAAATACATGCCTAATTATACATATATCAAAATTGGTTTTTTTTAGCATTTTTTTGCCGTCAAGGCGTACTGTCATTAAACAATTATTGACAGTTGTATTTCCTTAAACACTGATATTATGGAGATTCGTGGATACACAATATTTTTATTTTATTGTCGACAGAAAAATTCTTTCACTTATAAATGCAAATTATATGAAGCTTAAATTATGTGAATAATTCTTCTAATAAAAATAATATTATTTAAAACAAACCATCACATATGAATACTGTTTGTGATTGTTGTTAATAATTAATTAAGGAATGGATGTATATTATTTACTAGCCTTGGACCAATGCCTTACAAAAGTGCGTGCAAGTTATTTACTATATGTATGTACATATTATATTGAAAGTTGTCTAGTAAAAGAATTAGTTATGTAAACGATTATAAGAAAAAGATAAAAAATAAATTCAAAAAATTATATAAGAAAATAAAAAAGTAGTGCATTAAGAAAATTAAAAAGAAGTGGATGAAAGTTACAAATATTTGTCATGAAATCGTGACATAAAATAAGTACATATATTTTTTTGTTTGTTTTTGGATACCTAAGATATGTTTACTATTTCTTTAAAATGTCCCGCATATTAAATACTATTCAATATTTTAATCATACAATAACACAGCATAAGAGCACAGCTTCAATGTATTGGAAATGTAAATAACTTAAAAACATTGTTTACTTAAATTAAAAATAAAAAAATTGTGCTAATAACATACGACATTGACATTTAAAGATTTGCCGCCAATTTTTTTTTCTCGTTTCAATTTTACGACAATAATAAAATTTGATTACCAATGTGTTATTTTAATTCTAGTGACAATAATTTTATTATTGCACATAAAATTAAAAAAAATACATTGTCTCTGATTTTTATCGATGAAATCGATTAAAATACTGTATTCATTCGTAAACTAAGACAAAGCTTTTTATATCTTTGGCGGGATTGTTTTGGCTGCACTAGTTTAAAAAGCACCGCTATTAGAATTAATATGAAAAATGTAATCCGTCCAGATTTTGATTATATAAAAAAACAATAATAAATTATCTTATAATAATTTAGAGGTATAATTTGTACGTTTTTTTAATACTTGTATTGTAGCCTCCTTGTTCAATATTATCGATATTTTAATATTAACACAAGCCATTCATTTTTAGTTTTATTAACATTTTATTGATTGTATTATCATACACGATTTACATATTATAGAATTTTCTCTTCTCTAAATTATTATAAATATAAAATGTTCAAATTCATATGGTACTATCAAAATTGTGGAGAATATATATGCAAATTTGTTTTACATACAAAAATAATTTCTAATTAAAAATTAATATATTATCCACAATTTTAATAGTTATATAAGATTGATTATATTACAAATTTTAAATATATAATATATAGACAATATAAGGCTTAGTTTTACTAAAACCTATACAAGTCTTTAATCACTGGTATGTGTCACTAGCTGTATAATGTCCTATGACTCCGGATACATGAGACTTTCAACGGGCGCTGAGACTGTGAGGTCATCTATTGCCGGTCTTGACCAGTCCTGGAATTAAAATTATTATTAATATTATATAATATATATTATTTATTTAGTAGACAATTTTTTTTATATTAGACAATATAATATATTATGAATACAATCACAAATGCTTTAATTATTAAAGCTATTTCTTAGAACCATGTTTTATATCTCACAATCTTTTTTATACATCTCATCATTATAATATAAAAAATATATAAGGTTGTTATACATTTTTTCATTCGTTTTATCCAAATGTATGTAATTGTTAGTAATGCTGTAGGTATTTAAATATAGGGATATAATAGCTTAATAATCCCTACTAATATTATAAATGCGAAAGTAACTCTGTCTGTTTGTCTGTCACGCTTTCACGCCTAAACCACCAAACTGATTTTAATGAAATTTGTACAGAGATAGTGTTGACCTTGAGAAAGAACATAGGATAGTTTTTATCCCAGACTTTTTAAAGGTTCTCTTGGAAACGCGATATAACCGAACTCCACGCGGGCGAAGCTGCGGGCGGGAAGCTAGTAAGTATATAAAAGTCACTATACAAACCCACCTGTTCTTCAGTACTAGCGAAGAACAAATAGAACAGATTCGCTCCCAAATCAATGGCAGCCGCTAAGTAGAACACTTCGCGCCATTGTCCTAGTGTTTGCTGGAATTAAAAGTAACATTCAATCAGAAATAGTTAATATAATCATAATTAAGGAGGTATATTTTGAAATATAAGGTATTTAAAAAATACCCATATAATATAAATTTTTGTGTTATATTATTTTTTTGCTTACGGTTATTTCATATTTAATCAAGTGTCATTTCGTTAAATGTTTGTACAATCTGTTATTTAGATTTTAGTATGCTACTTTGTATAAATCAAAACATATTTATATGGATTTAAATATTAGATATTATGTTGTGTTATGAGTGTGTATCTGTCTTTGACATCTTAGCTGTGAAACGGGTGAACCAAATTTGATGGGACTTTTTTCATTTAAAAACTAGTATCGTGTGATACTAGTTTCGGTTCTCGGTTATGTATGACTAACATCACCCCAGCCGTGTAAGAGGATATCTTTCTCGAAATTTCTCTATTAAATGCTGCCAATATTGTTATACGCCAATTAATGTGTTTTTAAAAATTTTATAAAATTTTATCTCTTACTTAGTAGCTACTATAAAGTACTTACCCGTCATTCTACCCATTAGTAGATTAATATGAAGTGATTACCTTTCTCAAATATGTTATATATAATATATTAAATGGTATGTTTTGTACCTGTGTGTCACTAATAATGAGTCCTATAACATATGGCGCCATGAACCCGCAGATGTTGCTGGCCGCGTTAGTGATACCGTACATGGTGCCCGCGAACTGAGGCGACAGGTCGATGTGGTTCATCTGATTACCTGATGTAACAGAATAAAATAATATAATATATAACCTCTTTGGAGATATTCATAAATATAACTGGCCATTTTGACCGGGATTTAAATTAGGAATGTTTTAATTTTAAGGTGAGTGTATTATTTGTTAGATTAAATGGTAACATTATATAATGTTATACCAATGATACCTATAACAAAGTATTTAAGAGAATTGCTATTATACTTAATAGAACAAATAACGCGTAGTTTCTTAAATATATATAGCTATTCTACCATTGTAATTAATCATGTATATTTAAAATATCAAATGGTTTGTGTCACTTCATATAATTCGAGAAAGGCTGAACCAATTTCCATGGTGTTTGATTGATTTACTGTATTCGTTTCTATTCCGACGTTCAGAATTACTGTTAAAATTATTGGAAAATTAATATTTATAGGTATATTTGTCCTTACAAAATCTTCTTGAGTTTAATAACTGACAAACATTTAATAATCATTATATCAATATTATAGATTTTAAAAATCTAGAATAACATCAATCATAAAAAGAGATTAATATATTTAGATTGAAAATTTTTTACGCGAGTATTCAGAAATTTATAGATAAATCATAAATTACGTTCGGCTAATCTGTAACGTAAGGAGGTAAAAAGGTAATCGAGTTGCTCAGTAATAAATAAAATTATTTCTATAATATATAAAATATTAAACAGAAAATAGAATAAGTACGAAACTGAAAATTATTAAAAAAACATTTTGCACGCTAATATTAATATGACTGTTTTGAATTAAATCAGAACAGATATTATATGATGAAGAAAACATAACAATGGCGGTTGACAGTTCTATTTGCGGAAACGTGATAACAGCGGCCTCTGGTGTCATAAATGTAGAGGTATGCCACTTTGTCTATGGGTTATACAAGATATTAAATGACATTCAAAGAATCATACGGAATGCACCTCCATCTTATTGCTTTGTTTTCAAAAGCATATAGTATATTTCATATAATTCATAGTACAAATCATAGCATTTAAATGTGATTATATAACAGATATTTCTTGATTATAGTGCGATACGAAGTTCGCCGGGTCTTCTAGTATAATATATATATTTGTTTATTTCTCACCAGCGTAAACGGCTCCACCGAAGGCAGACGTTATAGTTAATAACAACATAACAGACAGACGATCACAGCCGGCCCACGCTATACCCAGCAAGCCCAGCGCTGGGATGAACGAGCCTGAAACATATCACAACATATGTTACGATAAATATATTTTTATCTATGAAAATACAATATTCCTTCACTTTTTTGAGAATAACTTAAAGAAAAATCTTTTTTTTTGGGTTTTTTTTTCATCAAAGAGTCAACAAATTACAAATAAATAAATTATTCCATATAAATTCATTTAATATGAACATGGATTTAAATAAAAATTTGTAAATATTTGTAGTGTATGTATCTATACCAGTGATTCCCAAAGTGGTCCAGGTGGACCCCCAGGGGTCCACGGGAGACTTGCTGGGGGTCTACGTAGGCGTGAACAAAAAATGGGTGTCCACGAAAATTTATCTGCTTTTGATAGTAAAGAGCAAAAATGTAAGCATAGTTTTTATAAGGGCCTACCTACATTGTTTTAAGTACCTAACTAAGCAGATAATATTTTAATAAGGCAAGCGACTGTTACTTGTCCAAACTTGCGTATTCGATATTACGTACAATTTCGTGTACAGACTTGCAAAGCGCGATCCGCCCGACAATGCTTAATGCTTGTTCAGACATGAACTTGATCACCACTATAAATACTTGATGCCAAAGGCAAGCACTCATTCATTTGTTTCCAAAATTTCTAAAATTTTATTTTACCTATCGGAATATAGAGACAGAACTCAGAAGTGACACAATTTTCATTTTTTGGCGACTTTAAAAATGTGGTAGAAATGTAGCAGCAGGGGTCCACCGAAACCAGTAAAATTTTGAAAGTGGTCCACGAGAAAAATAAGTTTGTCGACTACTGGTCTAGATTCACAATTTTGTCCGCTGGACAATGTTTTTTTCATTAATTTTTAATTTATTAGTAGTTGTTTTCTTACAAACGTTTTTTTTCGACATTAGATTTATTAACAGTGGATTTACTAACAGTTGATTAATTTATTAACAGTGGATTAACTTGTTAACAGTTGATTAATTTATTAACAGTGGATTTACTAACAGTTGATTAATTTATTAACAGTTGATTAATTTATTAACAGTGGATTAATTTATTAACAGTTGATTAATTTATTAACAGTGGATTTACTAACAGTTGATTAATTTATTAACAGTGGATTAACTTGTTAACAGTTGATTAATTTATTAACAGTGGATTTACTAACAGTTGATTAATTTATTAACAGTTGATTAATTTATTAACAGTGGATTAATTTATTAACAGTTGATTAATTTATTAACAGTGGATTTACTAACAGTTGATTAATTTATTAACATTGGATTAATTTATTAACAGTGGATTTACTAACAGTTGATTAATTTATTAACATTGGATTAATTTATTAACAGTGGATTTACTAACAGTTGATTAATTTATTAACAGTGGATTAATTTATAACAGTTGATTAATTTATTAACAGTGGATTTACTAACAGTGGATTAATTTATTAACAGTTGATTAATTTATTAACAGTGGATTAATTTATTAACAGTGGATTAATTTACTAACAGTGGATTAATTTATTAACAATGGATTTACTAACAGTGGATTTACTAACAGTTGATTAATTTATTAACAGTGGATTTACTAACAGTGGATTAATTTATTAACAGTCGATTAATTTACTAACAGTGGATTAATTTATTAACAGTGGATTTACTAACAGTGGATTTACTAACAGGGGATTTACTAACAGTTGATTAATTTATTAACAGTTGATTAATTTATTAACAGTGGATTAATTTATTAACAGTTGATTAATTTATTAACAGTGGATTTACTAACAGTGGATTAATTTATTAACAGTGGATTAACTTGTTAACAGTTGATTAATTTATTAACAGTGGATTTACTAACAGTTGATTAATTTATTAACAGTGGATTTACTAACAGTTGATTAATTTATTAACAGTTGATTAATTTATTAACAGTGGATTTACTAACAGTGGATTTACTAACAGTTGATTAATTTATTAACAGTGGATTAACTTGTTAACAGTTGATTAATTTATTAACAGTGGATTTACTAACAGTTGATTAATTTATTAACAGTGGATTTACTAACAGTTGATTAATTTATTAACAGTTGATTAATTTATTAACAGTGGATTAACTTGTTAACAGTTGATTAATTTATTAACAGTGGATTTACTAACAGTTGATTAATTTATTAACAGTGGATTTACTAACAGTTGATTAATTTATTAACAGTGGATTTACTAACAGTTGATTAATTTATTAACAGTGGATTAACTTGTTAACAGTTGATTAATTTATAAACAGTGGATTTACTAACAGTTGATTAATTTATTAACAGTGGATTAATTTATTAATAGTTGATTAATTTATTAACAGTGGATTTACTAACAGTTGATTAATTTATTAACAGTGGATTAATTTATTAACAGTGGATTAATTTATTAACAGTTGATTAATTTATTAACAGTGGATTTACTAACAGTGGATTAATTTATTAACAGTGGATTTACTAACAGTGGATTTACTAACAGGGGATTTACTAACAGTTGATTAATTTATTAACAGTTGATTAATTTATTAACAGTGGATTAATTTATTAACAGTTGATTAATTTATTAACAGTGGATTTACTAACAGTGGATTAATTTATTAACAGTGGATTAACTTGTTAACAGTTGATTAATTTATTAACAGTGGATTTACTAACAGTTGATTAATTTATTAACAGTGGATTTACTAACAGTTGATTAATTTATTAACAGTTGATTAATTTATTAACAGTTGATTAATTTATTAACAGTGGATTTACTAACAGTGGATTTACTAACAGTTGATTAATTTATTAACAGTGGATTAACTTGTTAACAGTTGATTAATTTATTAACAGTGGATTTACTAACAGTTGATTAATTTATTAACAGTGGATTTACTAACAGTTGATTAATTTATTAACAGTGGATTAACTTGTTAACAGTTGATTAATTTATTAACAGTGGATTTACTAACAGTTGATTAATTTATTAACAGTGGATTTACTAACAGTTGATTAATTTATTAACAGTGGATTTACTAACAGTTGATTAATTTATTAACAGTGGATTTACTAACAGTTGATTAATTTATTAACAGTGGATTAACTTGTTAACAGTTGATTAATTTATAAACAGTGGATTTACTAACAGTTGATTAATTTATTAACAGTGGATTAATTTATTAACAGTTGATTAATTTATTAACAGTGGATTTACTAACAGTTGATTAATTTATTAACAGTGGATTTACTAACAGTTGATTAATTTATTAACAGTGGATTTACTAACAGTTGATTAATTTATTAACAGTGGATTAATTTATTAATAGTTGATTAATTTATTAACAGTGGATTTACTAACAGTTGATTAATTTATTAACAGTTGATTAATTTATTAACAGTTGATTAATTTAGTAACGGTGGATTTACTAACAGTGGATTTACTAACAGTTGATTAATTTATTAACAGTTGATTAATTTATTAACAGTGGATTAATTTATTAACAGTTGATTAATTTATTAACAGTGGATTTACTAACAGTGGATTAATTTATTAACAGTTGATTAATTTATTAACAGCGGATTTACTAACAGTTGATTAATTTATTAACGATAATAATGAAAGTTAGAGAATGATAAATAATCATTGGGACTCGACACTAGAAGAGGCTCGACATTGTAGATCAGCAGCTAAGGTGAGAGATCTTTTGCCATTCTCATAGCGACCTGTGGTCTCTCAAATCCTCAGATATTATGGGAAAAGTCCCAAAATGATATGTCTGACTATATTTTGAACAGACTACAACAAAATAATCCCAATGTCACATATTATGATTTAGTTTAAACGAGGCGCTAACTAAGATTCAAGACCAAGTGATGGCTATATCTGGGAAGACATTATCAGATTTTGGAATGAACCGGCCACAAGGAATCGGAGAAGTCAATAGTGATTTAATAAGAGAACTGGACTACAATGTCTCTTCTTTACAGCAACAAATATCAGAGTCTGTTCCTCGATTGAACACGGAACAAAAATTAGTTTATGATATTGTTGTGCAAAGAATCGATAATGGTGAGGGTGGATTGTTTTTCTTAGATGCGCCAGGAGGCACTAGGAAAACTATTCAATAAATTTACTTTTAGCCCAAATCCGAAAAGACAAAGGAATAGCTGTTGCCGTAGCTTCCTCTGGGATTGCGGCGACGGTGCTCGATGGAGGCCGCATGGCACATTCAGTACTTAAACTCCCATTAAATTCCAGTTTGTAACATTACAAAAAACAGCGATAGAAAGCGATCGAAAACAGCGAATGGGCATATAGCTGCTTGCCATCTTTTCTATGTTCGGAGCCTCAGTGACCCTTATCCCTTACGTAGGCGTGAACAAAAAATGGGTGTCCACGAAAATTTATCTGCTTTTGATAGTAAAGAGCAAAAATGTAAGCATAGTTTTTATAAGGGCCTACCTACATTGTTTTAAGTACCTAACTAAGCAGATAATATTTTAATAAGGCAAGCGACTGTTACTTGTCCAAACTTGCGTATTCGATATTACGTACAATTTCGTGTACAGACTTGCAAAGCGCGATCCGCCCGACAATGCTTAATGCTTGTTCAGACATGAACTTGATCACCACTATAAATACTTGATGCCAAAGGCAAACACTCATTCATTTGTTTCCAAAATTTCTAAAATTTTATTTTACCTATCGGAATATAGAGACAGAACTCAGAAGTGACACAATTTTTATTTTTTGGCGACTTTAAAAATGTGGTAGAAATGTAGCAGCAGGGGGTCCACCGAAACCAGTAAAATTTTGAAAGTGATCCACGAGAAAAATAAGTTTGGGGACTACTGATCTATACAATAGATAAATACACTGTCCCACGTACCCCACTGGAGGGGGTGGCATGCGCTCGGCAGTCTAATGACTAGCGTGGAGCAGAACGGGGACGTTCGTCGCTCTAGGCGGGGTAGTAGTGAGACAGTGACTAGTTATACTTACATGTAGGACCAGGGATCCTACAATATTAAAACAAACTAACCTACAGTATTCCAGAGCTTCATACTATTCAGTCTAGATATCCAACCCTTAGCTAACAACCAGTCCGCGAACACACTGATGCCTATTCCAGCTACCCATGACGATAAATATGGCAACGCTAGAAGACGAGCATTCTGAAAAATATATAAAAAATAATAATTCATTCATTCATTAAATTAAATAAATAATTTAATTCATTTATATGTAAATAAGTCATTAATGGTATGAATATTAATTCTTTTTTTTTAAATGCAATATCAACAGCCAGCTTCAATTGTATGAAATGCTTATAAAAACGTAAACTTTTTATCAGTTAATATGTATTTAAATAAACATATCAATAAATAGTTTAATAACTCACAGATACGATGTCAAAGTGTAGTATATTGTTCATGTATGTTGGTAGTTCTGTCAGCTGAGTGTAGAACAGCCATGATTGTCCACACTGCGCTATCAGTATAGCCCACAACGGGAGGCACGTTAAAAATTTGCACCAAGGAATCGATTGTCTATGCTCTTCCTGCAGAAAAAAAAATCAAAACAATTTGTCTTTGAAATTGACAATCATAATTTTTTATTCGTAAAAATGTATAGTTAAACGTCCTTTTTGTCATTTGTTTATTATATTTAGTTTACGAAACTAATTTTAAGTTTAGTTTACGAAACTAGTTTTAGCCTTCAAAGTTTATATCTCTTCATTAGGGTGATCACTTTTATATCATTTGCTTGTCGTCATTTAGAAACCAGGATTAGAACAAAACTATTGTAACAAAATAGTTAATCTAAAGAAAAAATACATATAAATATATATGATTGTTATATATTTTTTCTATAATTATCTAAATAACGTATTTTAATTCATAAAACAAGAGAAATCTAATTATCTGCGTCCTAAAACCAATGCGAACAAACATTCGTGTGACCTTAATCATTTCCCAAGTGTCGTGACTCACAGCTATGTTTGTGATAAAACTTGCAATTCAATATTAAATAACATAATATATTATCAGTCGTAAATAACTACATAAAGTTTATGTATAGATTAAAAATACTACTATATTTTTAACATTATCTTTTAAACCAAATATATGTAAGGTAAAAGCACCTATGTTGGACGCGGACCAGTCATGGACAATTTTTGACTTTTCCTCCAAAATTAAGCAAAGACGCTGAATTTTATTTCAAATGACAAGACGGGTCTGTTGAGTCAACACTGTAGTGGTCATACCAACTGTTTTTAACAGCCTACATCAATTTGGATGGCGGCTATATAGGTTTTTTGTTGCGCGGCGGCAGTTGGTGCCGGGAATCGTAATTTATTAGAAGAATCGTGTTGTGAGTAAGTACAGTTATCGTCTTGTTATGTGTCAGGTGTATCGTCATTGTTCAAATTGTTATTATTTAGTGATTTATCAATAGTAGTACATTTATTTTATAATATAACACAAAATGTCATTGTGATTTAAACCTTTGAATTACCGGTGTCCATAACTGGATATTATTCAAGCACATACACCCAATCATGTACAGAGTGTCCATAAAGGGAACTTCCTGATTTTTATTATTTTTCATGTATCATACGTCTGTACTAATATATCTTCATGTTTCTCTAGAAAACTGAAATTAATTTTTTGTCTATCCAATAATGGACATTCTGTCCATGACTGGATGTCTGTAATAGGTTCAACATATTTTTAATACAAACAAATCTTTTTTTCCGACCAGAAATGGCACTTAGGAGAAAATATCTGTTGCCGCTACAAGATACGGAGTCCCAAGGATAACATTACATAATAAAATTACCGGGAAAAGTCGAATTGATTGTAATCTAGGTCCAACTACGGAACTCACCTACGAAGAAGAAAGGAAACTCGTAAAATGGATAACATTTATGGGTGAAAAACATTTTCCTGTCTACAAAAGAACAATAGCTTAATAGTGTCCAAAAAAATATATTTGAGAAAAAGTTAGATTCCTGTCCGTTCACAAAATATACCTAAACCATTAACCAGTTATATTATTCTTGGATGGCCATAGGTCACACATGACACTGCATCTGTCAGATTTCTGTAAAAATAATATGATTGAAGTTATCTCTACCCGAACTCGACTCATCTGCTTCAGCCGATGGACTTTGCGGTGTTTAGGCCTTTAAAGGTAGCATGGCAGAATCCGGTGAAAACTTGGAAAATGGGCAATCCGAATCAAACAATGAAAAGAGAGCACTTTGCTCCAAATTTTGAGACAGCTTTACAAAATATTTCGACAGACACCATAAAAAACGGATTTCGTAAGAGTGGGCTTTTTCCCTTTGATCCAGAGTATGTGGATATGAACAAAATATGCTCACAAAATCGTGCAACTGTTTCCACATCAGCAATAGAAAAGAAAATTAACACGACAAAACAGTTTATAAATACTATAGAATCAGAAATCCTTATTATTTTGAAAAGATTATTACTGTCCATTGATGGCTGTTCATATTTAGATTATGTCCATGAATGGGTGTCCTATACTGGATTATATCTGTCCATTAATGGTGTCTAAGTAGGAGTGTAGTTTATTTACAATATTTATTGTACTGAGTACCAAACTAAAATTAAACATGGAATACTGATTGAAAAAAGAGCTTTTTATTTACCTTCTAATGCCAAAGAATATATATTGAAAAATGAAGAAGTTACAAAGCAAATCTCTAAAAATATCGCTTGTACTGTCCATGACTGGTGACTTTACCTTACATACTATTAATTTTATATTGTTAGGTAGAAGATGCTGTCCAATATACTGTTCTTTAATTCTATTAAAATGCAAGTAGGTCAATTTGTTAATATAAAGTATAAACTATTGTTATACAACTAGATAAGAACCTTTTCATGAGTATAATTATCAAACACACAAGTTAATATGGATGATTACTTCTTACACTACAATCTATTTTGTATACCTTTTTTATAAATTGCAAGCAGCAATTATTTTATAACATATTACTGTAAAAATTATCAGAATAATTTATGTATTGGTAATATTATGGTAAATTATTGTTATAAATACTAGTTTTGTTTGCAACTAGACTTTTAATCAGATATACTACTATAAACATGTTATTTAAGTTAATACATTTCGTCATAAATTAGGAATATATGACAGATATTTATATATACATATTTATGTATATGCATGATTTTAAACAAAAACAATAACTTCGTAACATAATTATTTTGCATCATAACATATAATAACATAATTGATAATAACGCAAATAAATTTTAATACTATAAGAAAATTATATAAGAAATACCTGAACTCCAATGCTTTCTGTGATAAATTCAACTTCTTTCGGACAAATTCTCGGATGCTTTTGAGGTGTGTCATATATCAGGAACATCCACGCAATAAACCATATGATACCCAGACCTCCAAATATATAGAAACACAACGGCCAACCACCAGCAAAATCTAATGTACACAGCCAACCTGATATCGGCAGAGATATTACTGTACCGATATTAGAACCTGAAAAGAGGTTTTATGTTAAAAAGGTTTTATATGTCAATTAATTTTAGATTGTTAACTCTATTACAGAAACAAAAAAAATTGTTATTAGTAATGAGCATTGTTTTATTAACAATTAATTAAGTAATTTAAATAATATATACAATCAATAATTACCAGCATAAACATAGGCGGCAAACTTTGATCTTTCCAATGGTGGAATCCATCTTGACAACATAGCATGCATCGCCGGGTACGTCACACCCTCACCCAAGCCTTCCAACACTCTCACTACTATGAAAAACTTAAAATCTATATATGCAGCTATTGGACTGAGTATTGTAAATACAGCTGTTAACAAGACTCCGATTCCATATACTAATTTGCCCCCAAACATCTCGGCAATGCGTCCTCCTGGAATCTATAATTTTTTTAAGTATTTTAATATGATTTATGAGGTATATAACAACAGATATAAGTTAATTAAGACTTACCTGTGTTAAAACATAGCCATAGAAAAATGATCCAAGTATTATACTTTGTTGTTCTGCTGTCCAGTTGAATTCCCCTTGTTTCTAGGAAACATTATCATTGAAATGAAATATCACACATTTTAATAAACATATTATAAATGTAACTAGAACTTTATGATCATTAATTACTACTATTGTTATAGTTAAATACAATTGTAATTGTAAATTAAAGAAATCAAATAATATAGTATTAAAGAGTTAAGACAGAAAAGTATAAAAAAATTATTAAGAGTATATTTTATTTATAAGTAAAAATCTTACAGGTGGAATAGTATTATTACTGGGTAAGCTTGTTGGACAAACATCCAATGTGGTGTCATTGGAAGGCAGTGGCTCTGTGGAGTTTATCATGGCCACAATCGCCACCGATAGATTCACACGCATCGCATAAACATTTGCAAACCCTAGTAAACCCATGATACCCAACACAGTCCTGCATTTGATCCATCCTGTTGTCTCCTCAACTTGAAATAAAACGATTTATAAACATACATATATATAACATAAATTTATATTAGATAAGAACACCTAAACTGTATTTAAATTGATTTGTTCTATATTAAAAATAAATGAAAAGTAGGATATACGATGGTTTAATAATTTTGTTGTAATAAGGCACTCATATAAGTAATGTTAAAATATTTTTTTAAAGAAAACTAAACTACGAAACTAGTAATCTGAAAAAGGCATTTGTATAGTTAATACCTCTCTCAGTTTCAACTAAATTCCCGTGACTGCTAGTGACATCATTTTCTATATCAGCATTTATCATCGAACTCTCTTCTATCGGCATTGACATGATTTACAATAGAAACATCACACACTTTCACAAACTATTTTAATTAAGATAATAAGAATCAATGTTACGTATAATTGTTTTATTCCCATTCATACATTAAATGGTTTTTTGTTTAATCTTTTAACCATTATTCAAACTTCAAATGACTCACACATAACAATTATTATTGAATTCATACATAAACAAAGAAAAGCAATATAACTAATCTGAGACTGTCAATGTGACAAATTTTTGACTGATTTTGACGTATTGACATCGGCTGTCAGTTGTCACTAAATTGACATAGAATAAAATAAATACCTGTACTAAATTTAAATTTTAAATTCAAAGTATTTCAACTACTCATACCTGGTGAAAGTCTAAAAAATTCCCTTATAAATATTATAAGTTGTTTCAAAATTGTACATAAAACTTATAATACTCCTTTATATTTACAAAATAATATTATCTTCATGTTACAAGGCTACCCATTTTTATCTTTTATTTAGAAATAAATACCTATTGTATGCATAATAAAATAGAATCATTTCAACAAATATCAAAGGTCATTAATTGTACCTCAAAAAATACTTCGATTTTAAAAGCAAATAAACCTAAAACCTTATTTTGCGATTATATGAATATTGACACATAAATGGTTTCAAATTATGAACTTTGATTTAGAACATTACTATGGTCGTGATATTTATTTATGATAAACATTATCAATAAAGGTCTTCACCTATCTCTGCAGACAATATTTTACAAGGTTGACTAGGTAATTAAAAGAAATAATAATGCATCTCATATTTAAGTACTTGAATAATTTTTATTTCTTTTTAATTTGTGTAAAAATACATAAAAATATTATTATGCGAGTTTTATCTAATTCAGTACTTCAATAAAGTAAGATTTTTTTAAAACCTAAATAGGCATGAAAGTTCCATTCCCAAATAACAATATATATAAATATTTATCTATAGAAGTTTGACCATAGAAGGCATAAGTAATCCCATAATGATTGTGGACAAGAGATTGACACTATGATTATCCAAAACATTTTTTCCACTGATATGTTTCACTGTTAAGCTAGAGTGAGAAACAATCTTTCCATCCTTGTCCAATCCTGAAATTATAATACATAACATAAAGAGACTTTATAATGCTTATGTAACAAATATCAATCAACTTTTCTCATCATACAAACCTGAATATTGTAAAGTTGCACCCAGTATAGAATCTATAAGACTACCTAAGAATCCTGCGAATGCTCCATAAAATATAATCGGCCACTGAGGTGGTGCATACATAAGTAAAGATCTATCAGCAAAGTATATTATAGTTAAATAATGAGATAATCCTATTGCGAGACCACCAAGTGTACTGACAACGGTTCCTATAAGACTAATACCCCCATTTGTTCCTTTCGGTACTCTCTTCCAAGTGGTAATAAGTATGGGATCTGAGTTACTTAAGACTGTCCCCAATTCCGAAGCCCAGGTATCGCCATTGGTGCATGCAAACACACCTGGAAAGCAATTAAAAATAAATAAAATTATATACATAATATTTTACTTTAGTTAATATCAGAACATTATGAAAACATATGCTCTTGTATGAATGAGTGGATAGCTCTATAATTTTTTTAATACACGAAATACATTATGATGTCAAAACAGTACAAGGAATTGTCATAATACTTGCCAAGTACACCAATGCTCAACCAAGAGGATCTGTAATCTTTAACAAAATCAATTGGTCTCTCCGATGCACCAACATCTAATAGGTACAATAGAGCAAGTTGAGTTGCCATCCCTCCATTGCAAAGAACTTGAATCCAATTTCTTTGACCACCTAAATATATAAATAATTTATTACTACTCATTTTCCTATGAAAAGTCACATAATGAAATCAAAAAATATTTAACCTTCTTTGAAGTCAGCTTCAAACTTTTTTTTTAATTGAGGCCTAAAATGTGTTGCCTTAGATGATGATAAGAAAAACACCATCATATCTATCAAGAAGCAAAAGTTTGACAGTGTTAATACGAAAGCTACTACAAATCCAAATAATGCTCCGCTCATATTTAAACTTTTTCTTTTGTAACCAAATAATGCAAAAGGCACTGGTATCAAACAGGCTGCCAACCATCTTCCAGGTGATATAATGACTGGATCTAGAAATAATAAAAAAGATATAAACATCTTCATTAATAATAAAAAATAAAAAAATTGTATTTACCATCTAAACCTTCAGTATTTAACAATAATTTTGAATATATTATATTTATTATCCACATTGACATTGATATTGGTATCGCGAGAGTTATTAAAAGCACCGTTAAGATATGATCTTCTTTTATTAACTTTTTGTCTTCCAACTTTTCTTTTTTAACATCCATTATTTTGCTTTGTTACTATATTAGACACTGTCCAAAACAACTAAGATCTCTACTAAAACAATAAAGTAATATTCATTGACTTAAATATTGACTATAAAGTAATTAATTTGATGATACGTAAACAGTCGATTGCCAGAGAAAATTATGTTGATATATTATGTTTTCTCTGTAAATATAGAACAAACTATTATTACTATAGTACTTGAAAACAATTTTCTTCTTTTTTAAGTTTATAATATAAAACTCTTTATCAAATGTTTCACATTTTATTTCACGATATTTTAGCCGGTACCGTTATTTACAATATGCTATACCGTCTTGTAAGTATAGAGATTTTTTTAGTGAAATGATTTTGACTGTTGACATTTTACAGTTGGCATTATTCACTGACAGACGACAGCATTTACAAAATGTCATTTTTTTTATTAAAGAGTAAATACAATTAGAAAATAATATATTCAAAAGTTAAAACATTTATAAAATGTTGTATTTGTTTTTTGTGATTTTATGAAATAATAAGATGTTTTAACAACATTTCGCTTAAGATTACTGTTTTATTTCGTGCTCGTATCTTATGAAAACATTAAATTTAGTAATTGTATACGTCCTTCTTGAAATAAAACTAATATTTTCGGATTTACTTGACGATTTCAATTATTTTAACTAGATCATTGATGAGACTGAGAAAAATCTCATGTCGTCTGCCCGAGACTACGATTGTTGCAAAGAAATCGAAACGTCGGGAGTATGTGGTTAAAATAATTAAAATCGTGTGCTAATTTAGAAAATACTAGTTTAATTTTAATTAATATTCGTAAAAGTATTAGATCTCATTACATGGTCCTTTTTGTCATGTTAGTTGTGTATGATTTGCTATCACAAATTAGAATACATGCAAATAATGAATTCTGTCCTTAGGGTTTTATAATTTTGTTATCACGGAAGATATGTTGGTTCTCATAACACAATGTTCTAAGTGATTTTTTGTACCATTAATAATACGTCATATCATTTCATATTCCAAATAAGTACTCATATAAACAAAAGATTGATGTGATCGATGGATAAAACTAAACTGTCATGTGAATTTGTCAGCTGTCTCTACTCAACGAGACATGCTAGTTTTGATCAATTGATGTGAATCTGTGGTTAGTGTAGTTGGTTTACTTTGATAAAAAGATTTGTCGGAACTCTGAAGAGATCTAACTGTACAATTGTACACACAGTGATAACAAAGACAATGAACGTTTGTTCGTGATTTTTTTAATTTATATTCAGAACTTCTGAGGTAAAAATGAAGCCTCTAATAGATTTTGATGAATGCCTCAGAGATTCGCCCAAATTTAGGTGAGTACGGAAAGTTTGTCGATAGAAAGTGAAATTTCGTACGTGTTCTGTGTCTTGATTTAACAAATGTTTTTAACGTAGGGAACAGCTGGAAACTGAAGAGGCTAATATTGAGGGATTGGAACAAAAGCTTGATAAAGTTCTTAAGACATGTTCTGTTATGATTGAATCGGGCAAAACATACATGAATCATAGGAGGTATTTGTTATTGTTTTTTTATATATAATTAAACGGCATTATGGTAAAGTAACAAAAAATGTGATTATGTCAGATACACTACAATCTGATAACTGATGAATGGCATTGTGTTAATTTAATTAGTGGTTGTAGTAATAACAATGAAATATGGCCTTATATTGTGTACTATAAATACCAGTAATCAATACTTAGAGTACTTGACATATATATATATATATATATATATATATATATATATATATATATATATATTTTAGTAATGTTTTTTATTGTTTCATGCATAATTAACCATATTTAATATAATTATCCATTAATAAACACTTTTAGCACTTTCACAAATGCACTATGGGATCTGAGCAGTAGCTTTTCAGAAGATTCAACCGTGGTTTCAGCATTGCATAGAATGATACATGCTTTGCAAGAAATGACCAAGTTCCATTCAATATTATTGGATCAAGCCGCAAGAACAATACTTAAGAATCTTACAGCTTTTATTAAAGTGTAAGTAAACATTCAATTAATTTACTTCAGCTAAGTATTTAAAAATTACAAAATTAACAGTAGTATATATTATTTTATACCATACATGTATAAAAAAGGTGTATGAATGTACATTGATATTGTAAGCGGTGCATATATCTACCTGATAATGTGGGTAACATTAATAGAATTTTATGAGCAACATGGCATATCTCTGTTTATACTAAAGTTCATTTGCTTTACAGTTTAATCTGGTGTAAAGCATTTTGTTAAAGTGTTTCATATAATCCTTATGTTTCATGTTCTTTATATATGTAAAATATTAGCTGTTATCAGTGTAATTGTATGTTCTGACTCATGTTTGATAATTTAATGTTTATTTAAATACATTACAATTCAATGAGTTATTTTAATTTCAGTGACATTAAAGGTGTTAAAGAAAGCAAACATCATTTTGATAAAATCTCAAATGAATTGGATATAGTATTAAATAGAAATTCACAGGTAAATATATTATTATTTGTAATAACTTTGTTAATTTCACATATGAAATATATGTTTTTAATTAATTCTATCTACTATATGTTAATTTATATGCCAACAAAAGATTAAACAATGATTTTTTTTAATTATGTACTGTTTGTCTTAACTTTTAATAACATAAAGATTTAGCGCAATCAGTATACTTTTGTTATAATTAATACTTTTTATTACACTTTATACTCTTACAAAGTGACTTTGTTTTTATATGGCCTATAAATATAAAAAGTATTATTTATTGTAACTTAAATATATAGAATCATATATATATTTTAATATCACACAGGTATCTCGTCATAAGTCCACCGATGTGGAGGAAGTCATGAATCTCTTACTAGCAACTCGATCATGTTTCCGGCACACAGCACTTGATCATGTACAGAAGATTACGATGCTTCAAGTGAGAAAACGTCATGAGATATTGGCTACGGTGAGTATTAAACAAATATACAGGGTGACTGGTGAATTACTATCAATATTTAAGGAGAATACTCAATACATGACTTTCATTCGAATTATGTAAAAAAAATAGGTACTTAATTTTTGACCAAATTTCCGTATAAATAAATAAAGTGTGGACACGTTTCAAGTGTTCCAAGTGTGGACGCGTGCGGCGGCGTGCTGATACAACACCACGCCGCCGCACGCGTGTGTGTGCGTGTGTGTATACCTAATCTGTAGGGTGTTCACACGATGCGTAATTAATTACATAACTTTTGGTTAACTTAGAAGTTTATTAATATTTATGTTATATTAATTTTTATTTTGTCATATATGATCGTCAAATATCACGTCCTCAAGTATCGATAGTAATTCACCAGTCACCCTGTATATACTTTAACAACTCAAATATATTTTTTTGCTGTATACAAATATTTTGTTTATGTTTTTAAGACATATTTCTATGTTTTATCAAAGATATTGTAACTGATTTCTTTTTGTGTTTTTATTAATAAGATTTCCTATATAAATTTACTGTAAATAATACCGTTATACATGAGGTTATAATTTTTATTTCACACCAACTTTATAAATTAAAATACATATTTAAAATGCAAAGGAATTGCATATAAGGATCGCATCTGACATTTTGAAATTTTTTTTTTTTTAATTCAATGTACCTAAAAACAACATGGTTGAAAACAAACAGCCGTAAGTAATTATTAATGCATATTGTACAGGTGCATTGTTACGCAAGTTTACGGAAACGCGTGACTCAGACCGAGCAGTGAATATAATTGATTACGACTTGTGATGATATGGATAACATTCATATATTTATATTTAACTAGCTGACAAAATATGTATTTTTAATGCTACAATATAAAAAAATAAAAACAAAAAATTTCGTCCGAAAATAACAAAAAAAATTAAGGGTGAACAAACCTTATAACTTAGGGATAGGAAATGGATGTTGGCCGATGCTCAGAGCTACTCAATGTTCTCACAAAATTTCATCAAAATCGGTCCAGACGTTTTGAAGGAGTTCTCTGTCTAACAGCGCGGCACGAGAATTTTATATACATATAAGATAATAATATTTTTTGACGTGTATAATTCTTATTTGTATTTCTCTATACTATTTACGCAATTTGAAAGACAATAAGTTGTGCATTTTTTCCTGTTATTGTAGACTATTTCGTCATATAGATTGTAAGGATTAAATACATAGTTTGTGTGTTCATTGTATTAAGGCAGTGAATAATATAGAATATTGATAATTTCTTTGAAAATTTATCGGTTTTAATCAGTGGAGTTTCTAACCTGGTTACTTTAAAACTATAAATCAGATTATTATTATTAAAAATGAATTAGTTACCTTGAAGATTATAAAAGTGTGTTATCATCCCTGCTAGTCTCTACTAATATTATAAATGCGAAAGTAATTCTGTCTGTCTGTCTGTCTGTTACGCTTTCACGCCTAAACCTCTGAACTGACTTTAATGACATTTGGTACAGACATAGAGTTGACCTTGAGAAAAACAATAGTTTTTATCCCAGACTTTTGAAAGGTTCTCTTGGAAACGCGATATAACCGAACTCCATTCGGGCGAAGCTGCGGGCGGAAAACTAGTAATATATACAGGGTGACTGGTGAATTACTATCAATATTTAAGGAGACTACTCGGTACATGATTCTCATTCGAATTATGTAAAAAAAATAGGCACTTAATTTTTGACAATATTTCCGTATAAATAAATAAAGTGTTGACACGTTCCAAGTGTTCCTAGTGTGGACGCGTGCGGCGGCGTGCTGATACAACAACACGCTTCAACACGCGTATGTGTGAGTGTGTGTGTATACCTAATCTGTAGGGTGTTCACACGATGCGTAATTAATTACATAACTTTTGGTTAACTTTACTTAGAAGTTTATTAATATTTATGTTATATTAATTTTTATTTGGTCATATATGATCGTCAAATATCACGTCCTCAAGTATCGATAGTTATTCACCAGTCACCCTGTATATATGAATTAGCAAACAAAACAATCTAAAACAGATGTTCGTATTAACAGAAAACGTGTTAAGTTAATTGTATTACAATAATATGCTTAGTCCAAGTCGTTATCGTAATAACATACAGGGAATTAAAAATATTCATTCATAAATCTTCTCACATTATATTTATTATAATTAACGTAGGTTATTGAATGAGAAACGGTAAATACTTCGTATATGGAGTGACGACTCGGACTAAGAATACAGAACGTCACAGTATTAAATTCCTAGAATACTAAATCAAATTACTTCTTTGCGGTCATCCCTACTGATATTATAAATACGTAAGTAACTCTGTCTGTCTGTCTGTTACGCTTTCACGCCTAAACCACTGAACTAATTTTAAAGAAATTTGATGAAAAAATATAGAGTTGATCTTGAGAAAGAACAAAGGATAGTTTTTTATCCTAGACTTTTGAAAAGTTCTCTTGGAAACGCGATATAACCGAACTCCACGCGGACGAAGCTGCGGGCGGAAAGCTAGTCGAATACTTTCACTTTATATACAAATAAAATTATTACAAAACAAAAATAGCTTGACGTTTTTGTATAGAAACGTGATTCGATAACCAATATCTATAAGCAATTAGTCATGATAGTCGATGCGAGGATTTGTAGATTTGTTTTTAGTCGCGTCGTCGCGCGGGAGTAACGAAACGCGTCTTATTCGTTCCGGTTTAGTGAAATCTTGTGTCGCCAGTGAAAGGACTGTTTGTTTTCATTGTTTAAAAGAAGATGTAAATTATTAATTGTTATATAAAAAGTGAGTCCTATATATAAAATCCAGTACGTGATAATATTTTAAATGTTTTTCGTGACTAATACAATACAGATATGTTTATATGTATATTTTTATTTTTTTATTATGGGTCACGTATTGATTTTTATTTAACTCAAGTACTGTTATTATCTATATATATTGTTATTTAGTTATAATTATTTAAAAAATAAACTTTATATACAGTGACGTCAGAAACAGATTCGTTTCCTAGAAGAAATAATATTGCATTAAGTACCCAAGTTAGTCATAGATTACGTAGTTAATCAATATCAACGAAGGTTTATTATGATGATTATTCACTTTGGCTGTATAATAAGTACAGTATTAAAAAATTAGGAACGCTATTGTCACAGATAGTTATAGTAATTTAATCAGTATTATTATCGTGACCAACTTTGGTTGCACTTAAAAAAAAGGAATTAATTATTTAATATTATATTAAAGTACATATTTTTGTTTGTTTTTTTTTAGTTCCTATCGTATTTGCAAGCGTGTAGCACATACAACCACCAGGGCGCGGATTTGTCTGAAGATTTGGAACCATTTCTTAAATCCACCGCTGACGAGGTAATTAATTATTTATTTGCAAAACTTCCACTGCAATTGTAATATTTGGATAGTGTAATGCATCACGTAATCAAAAGTAATACTTAAGTAAACTTAGTCATGATTGCATAAAGTCATCCACCAATCAAAATAATTGTATAACTGTTTAGTTTGACATATATGTGTGTGATGATATAACAATATATTTTATGAGGACGGTTTCTTTGTAAGGTGTAGCGTTACGTGACTAACAAAAGAAACAGATAATATATTTTTAATCCATATTATTATTATTTTTTGTATGAAAAAAATCCAATTAAAATCAACATGAATGCATACCGTAAATATTCCAAGTTCTAACCAACAACCTAGCGTGTAATCTCGTACAATTAATTATAAAAGAAAATCCACACACAAATTAAAGATCAATATAAATTTCATACATTTTAGATTGCAACAATGCGTAACGATACCAAATCGTTGGACAAAGAAATGGAGAATCGTCATACTATAGTTAATAGTAAGGATACTGTGTTACCGAGTTGTATGAAAATTGATGGAGAAAAGGAAGGCATGATGAGTCCTTGTATGAAGAACATGCCAAGGATGCAAGGATATCTCTTCAAACGAACATCAAACGCCTTCAAGACGTGGAACAGAAGATGGTTCTATTTATACGATAATCGACTCGTCTATAGGTAAGGCTTTGTATAATATGTAGGTCAAGGTCGGAATATATTTGAACAATATTTTTTTTTGTTTAATTTAATAAATGGCTGTTACGTAATAAACCGGCCAAGCATAATATAATATTATGTATATGAGCTATTGTTTTGTTTTTAATTTAAAAACGGCTTTTACGAAATTAAGTGGCTTATAGTATGATATTGTGTTACCTATGATTTTTGCTTGCATATATTTAAAATAAAAATCGTATTATTATACATTTTTCTCGACGTTTCGGTTACTTTACATATTTTTGATAATTATTTCATTTCTAATATTGTAAAAAGGTTTAAGTGTGCTATATATTTATTATTTTTTCTTAAGGAAAAGAACCGGTGAATTAAACGTCACTGTTATGGAAGAAGATTTGAGACTGTGTACCGTTAAGCCGGTGTATGACGGAGAAAGGAGGTTCTGTTTTGAAGTGTTATCACCATCTAAGTAAGTCTTTACACACACACACACACACACACACACAAACACAAATACATACAGTAACAAACATTCACACACACACAAATACATAAATGTTTGCATGTGTGTGTGTTTGTATTTAAGCCGACAACTAATTGGTGCAAATGTACCTTGTATGTTTTCTTGTATAGTAATTAACATGTTGTTGAAATTCAAATTACTTCATTACGTTATGTTACTACTGGTTAATATTTTATGAACCATAGGTAAATATTTTGTTGTAAAATCGATGAATTAAATATTAATTTTTATTTTCATGCAAAACTTCATTAAAGCTCAGAAAAATGGATTTTTATTTATGATTATTACATATTATGATACATATTTCCAGGAGTCACATGCTTCAAGCGGATTCGGAGGAAATGTTAAACTCGTGGATCGCAGCCCTACAGAACGGTATACGGTCCGCCATACAACAAGGACAGAGCAGAGACAACCCTGACTCACAGATGGTGTTAGTTCCCGACGATACAAAACAGACGAACAAACATAACTTGACACCCGCCATGAAGAAAATACGGTAATTATAAATACTTCCGACTATTCATATAAATTAAACTTATATTTTATGGATTACTACGCGTTTTTTACTATTACATGATTACGTCTAGTTTGTTCGTGATCACTTTTGTTGTGAAGTAACCGAAACGTCGGGAGTATGTAGTTTTAAAGTAATAAAATACGTCCTAGTAATTCGAAAATATTAGTTAGTTTCATTGAAAATAAGGTAATATATGTATTCATAATATTCCATTTGTTATATATGGTAATATATAATTCAAAAGATCCTGTATCAATTTCAATGAAACTTTACAAGGTTATAGCTCATACATCAGAATATGTACATTATAATGCATGCGTTCATAATGTGTGGTTGCGGTCACGCGTCATAGCAGCACCTTATAACCTTAGTACTAGTTAATATCATCACACTGCATACCAAACGTTTGACGTTTTCCATTCAATAACATACGTTAATACTATGACGTGAGAAGATTATGAAGGAAAAATTGTGAAGGCTTCTCTTGTAGTATGACTCGTGAACTTGGACTAAGCATACAGTTATATGTACGATATATACAGCATAAACTATACATGAAATTACAAAAGCCAGTTTCTCATGTATATGTATATGTTTAGTCAGTGGTGGCCTAGTGGTTAGAGGGCCCGCCCCTCGTGCCCGAGGGCGCGGGTTCAATCCTGGCAAGTACCAATATGATTTTTTCGAGTCATATGTACTTTCTAAGAGTATTTAGACACCACACTGACAGACGGTGAAGGAAAACTTCTTGAGGAAACCTGGACTTATAATTTAACATTATAAGTTTGAAATCACCAACCCGTCTTGAGCAAGCGTTGTGATTAATGCTCAAAAAAAATGTATATAGGTAATATAACTTGTTGAATTCGTGTAATTATTATTTTACTACATACAAATTAAATTAATTAAATGTCATTTAATTTTAATATTCTTTTTATTATTAATACTCCAGGATCTGGGAGCAGTTGTTAAGTATCCCCGGGAACAACGAGTGTTGCGACTGTGGCGCCCCCAACCCGCGCTGGGCCAGCATCAACCTGGGAATAACGCTATGTATAGGTATAATATAATAAGTTTTGTCCACGATAACTATCGATATCGATATATCGATGTATCGATAAATATGATACTTTATCATCGTCACTAAATTAATCTACATCTCAAAATTTTGACGTGCTTAGATATTGTCTAATAAGTATTTTCAACTTGAAAGTTATACATTTTTAATATTACAATAGCTTTCACGTTATTCTTTTTATTCATTTTTTTTATGTTATCGATAGTTATAAACAACTTAAGAATGAAAATTATTAATACAATATTCGTCGACCGTATGAAGATTCGAACATGCGACTTTAAAAATCTCTATATTAATATTATAAACTGCGCTATAGTGTCCATACATAAATGGAATAAGCTATCTATTTATTTACCGACTTATTATGAAGAGGTGTTGTATAAGGTTTTATAGAATATTAAGTAAATATAAAACTTGTCGCCATTTTGTTTCTTACAGAATGTTCTGGCATACATCGCTCTCTCGGCGTCCACGTTAGCAAAGTACGATCACTAACACTAGACGACTGGGAACCCGACATTATAAAGGTTACTTTATATATGTTATATGTATATAAAATAATCATAATATAAACGTAAATGAGAAATATTACCACAAACTAACATACAAATAAAGAAAAAAACAAAGTCACATAATTTGAGGAATAAAAACACATTCGAACTCATTGGTTACGAAGTAATTCTGGCAAAAAAAACTATATTGTTTGAAGGAGCTCAGTTGTTCAATAAATTACCAACTGACATTAAAGAGTGCGAAAATACTAACTTGTTTAAAAGTATGTTAAAAAAATATGTAGTTACTTTATAACTTCTATCTTATATCTTTCAATTTTGTATCTCATTTTAAGTGGACTGTATGTTCTTAGGAGTAATAAATTTCTTTAAACCGAAATAGTTATTTTTTTCTCTATAATATCAAATATTACAGGTGATGGCTGAATTAGGTAATAAAGTAGTTAATTTAATATACGAAGCTAATACTGAGGATGCAACAGTGACTCGAGCGACGCCGGATTGTGAGACGTAAGTATATTATAATAATAATTATAATAAACTTTTATTAGTAGTTGTTGATACAAACGTTTTTTTTGACATTACATTTGACAACTAACTAAGATGGCAATCATTCTGTCGCACCTCAAAACACGGAGATTTATGGCTTTAATTGGTAAACTCCAAAAATATAAATAAAAATAAAAAAACGTAACAGATATTTCTTGATTATAGGGCGATAGGAAGTTCGCCGGGTGTTCTAATATGTATATATAATATTTATGTGATTCATATGTGTTACAGATCTGTACGCGAGGCGTGGATAAGAGCTAAGTACGTTAAACTAGAGTTCGTTCGTAACATCATACATACAAACATTGAGGTTCACGACACGCCGCTTAGAAACGGTAGGAGGTGGTCTGTGAGGCGAGCCAGGAGGAGGTAATTATATAATTCATATTATATACAAAATAGTATATATAAAGATAACCTATAATATATATGAATATACTAGCTGCGCCCCGCGGTGTTACACGCAGATTTCCGGGATGTAAAGTAGCCTATGTGTTATTCCTTAACGTCAGCTTCCTGTATACGAAATTTTATAAAAATCGGTTCAACCGTTTGAGCGTGAATAAATAACAAACATACACACACACTCAGTGGCGGGGCAAGAACTAAATTTGATGTGGGCAAGACGGATTTCGCGAGGCCCTATTCTATGGCAATCTGAACCTCTTACTACCTGCTAGTTTTAAAAACTTTTACCCTTAAAGCTTTGGTTTCCTTCAAAAGATATTATAAAGCGTATTTTATATACACGTAATTACTGCGTTACATACTTATTATCAATTTAATATTTCTTACTTTATGTATGTACCGGTGTAGGTATTACAAATCACAAAGAATGCAAAAACAAGAAACATCACTGTTTTCAGGAGCAAACAATGTACTTATCTATTTATTCGCTAAATATTATTAAAACGTTAAACACACTATTCTTATCAAAATAGATAAGTACAGTCATAAAAATAAACAATATTGAATAACTATTAAATTATGCGTTTCTTTTGGTGTGTGCCTAGCGACTGGGTTGCGTACTTTGATTGGTTGGCTTCCAAGTAAAGAACGTAAGCAAATAAAACCAGGGATTCCCCGTACTCTGGTCGGCGGCAAATGTTGCCAGTCTAAGAAAATACGTTTAAAAACAACATTTATTTATAAATATATTTTTTGAATCTCCCTTTAAAATTTTTTGAGCCGCGAGGCCCCGTGTACCGCGAGGCCGTAGGCGGTGGCCCACGTCGTCCACGCCTTACGCCGCCACTGCACACACTCACAAACATTCGCAATTTAAATATTAGAAGGATACTCTAAATGTAACTAAGAAATCTATAGTATATATTAGTAGCATAGATAATAAATATTTTAGATTAAAATCTATATTTCAACATACTATTCTGTACTGAAAATAAAATGCTCAAGTTGAGGGAATAATATAGTTTGGTAATTAATGAAAATAGTAATATTAAAATGTTTATTTGTCAACAGAGTTCGCGCCCCCGCCGCTGTACCGGAGACGATACCCGATGAGAAGAGTGATGTCAACAGTAACACGAGCGGTATGAGTTATAGATATTATGTACACCTATGCACACACACACACACACACACACACACGTTTGAGCGAAGTTCAGTGACATACACACTCACAGAATAATTATATGTATATATAAAGATATATATCGTCGGGGGTAGTACAAATCCGCGTATCTTTATCAGAAGAATGTTTCAGCTGAAATATTTTCTACACTAATGACTTTTCAGATAATTTTTTCACATTTAGTATATATTTAGTGTTTAATTTATTAATTATTTATACATATGTGTTTTATTCAGAGAGTTCTTCGTCGGGCAGCCCCGTATTGTTGATAGGCACGGAGTTAGTGGCCCCTAGGCCGCTACATCTGGCATTGCCTTCCGACCACGACTCAACTGAGGGAGAAGAAGACGATATAGGTAATAGCAATTAATATATACAACATATACTGTATATACTATATGGTTATGGTTACTTTTCCCAAAAGAGAGTTGATGTCAAGGTCGTAAAAACAATTAGCTAAAAATTATTCACAACATGTAAATCAGACCCTGGCTAAAAGCTGGGAAATTGCCAGGAAGAAGAAGAAAAAGTTATGTGGTTAAGATATATGGTTATAGTCTCAGACTTAATCATTAATGTTCAGCGTTACTTCCAGTAATATCCTACAAAATTGCTGCCAGTATTTACAGTTTTCAAACGTGGTCATACTTAAATATTGCTATCATAAATATTGTAATCAATGAAGACGTAAAAATAACTCTAAGTATTTTAGTGTTGTAATTAATACGGCACAGATGGCGCCACTATTAACGTATACGATTTTCGTCACAACTTCACTATAATCATGATTATCCTTAAACCTTCTTTAATGAACCATATATTATACTCAATATCTATAACGCATAATATGTTATATTATTTAGTAATATATTTATTATATTCAGCCGCAGAAGATATCTCGAGTCTATCTCCGTCTTCAGTGTTATTCCGCGCGGCCCGCGCTCACAACGTGTGTGTGATGCGCGCGTCGCTGGCGGCCGGCGCGGACGTCTGTCACACCGACCGCGATAAACGGACTCCGCTACACGCGGCTGTACTCAGTGTTAGTAAATATTATATATAGTACTAGTATTTATATATAGAGACGAAATTATTTAGCATTCTTGGCATTTAGACTCGAAATGTAATGAATGTAGTTATTTTATAGAGATTTCCTACGTTAAATATGTAAGTATAGACGAGACGAAACCTCTTAGCATTCAATGCATTCACTGGTGGATGAAAAGTCCATCACGTTGCAGGGAGAGGAGCTTCAACAGCGCCTGGGACTTGCGACCCAGGTGTAGATTTAAAGAGCCTCTATATAACGCGTTAAACGCTCACCTCCACTTTCCAAACTTCTCTCCCTTTGTAGTATCATTAATACAATGTATATTTATCTATTGTCAGGGACATCTATCGGATGTCATATTAAATAAAACTGTTATAACAAATGTTCTAATGTCTAATCTATTATTCCATATTCTATATAAGAGCAACAAATCTATACATTCTTATAAACTTTTTCATACATATCTTCAGTATATATATATAGTATATGTGTTTTATGTATCAGGGTTCAGTGATGGCGTGTTCGTTCCTGCTCCTCAACGGCAGTAAGCTCAACTGTCAAGATGAAGACGGTATGACGCCGCTACACCTGGCCACGGAGGCGGGACACACCGGACAGGTAGGTCTTTAGGGGGGAGTGACCTTATATAAGGGGGGGGGGGAGGTATTGAATACATATAGATATTGAGTTAATATACAATTATGTCTTAGAATTTATACGTATTATTATTGAGTTTTTAGGTTTTTCCATCAATTTATTTGATATTAAAATTAGTTTTCTTATATCACTTGGATACATTTATAACTATATTCATGTACTTTATTAAGGTGAGGCGTGGGGGGGGGGTATTGAATTCACGTAGACATTAAGTTAATTGTGTATGTACTCTTAGAATTTATATGTATTTTAGTTAATTTTGATTTTTGCCATTAATTTATTTAATATTAAAATATGTTTTTTATTTCACCTGAATCATGGATGTATTTACAAATATAAATGCTATGCAAAAATGTAACAGTTATTTGCGACTATTTTGTTACATCAGAAATATATCATAATATTAATTTTAATATTATGATATATTAAAATCAGCTTTAATTATTTTAACAACATATGTACTCGTTTCGTTTACTTTTGCAAATCATCACTGGCAGACGAGATCTCATAGTAATATGAAAATATTATTTTTATCGTATTAATATATGTTTGTTCATTCAAGGTGTGTCTCCTTCTCCGCTACAAAGCCGACCAGTCGTTGTGTGACACACAGGGACGAACTCCGCTAGACATCGCTGTCTCACACGCCAACGCTGACATCGTCACACTGTTAGTAAATATATACAAATAAACATAATTAATAATTATCACAATATTATATTAATTAATAATCTACCTTAATCTAGACATAGATTATTAATTGGTGAGAGCTTTTTAGGTGAAAACAGATTTAAGTGTCGACTTTCTCATAGTTCATAATTATTTTTTTATATGAATAGTTATAAATAATGTTCTTGTATATCATCTGTCTTGAAAATAAAATTTAAAGGCGGTGTCAATTTTAAATGTACCAATATTATTCATAAGAAGCTGCCTTCTCTCACTTAAATAATAGCGTTAACATTTTATTATTTCTATAAGCTACCAGTTCTTCATAGTAAATAAATACACAATTCTGTTCAAATTATACCAGGGTCTAATTTAGTAATACTTGTCTTATTTCGGTGTATTTATAACTCCTTTTTTAATTCAAACAAAATAAAATTAAACCGCGTTTTATATAATATGATGAAATGAAATTGAATGGTTATAATGAATATTACAGTCTCCGTCTGACGAAGTTGAACGAGGAGATGCGTGAGAGCGAGATGGCTTCAAACGACGACACTTACAACGAGGTGTTCAGAGACTACACGCAGCTGGCGCACTCGCACCCGGAGAGACTGGTGCGCGCGAGACACAACAACAACGACGGTTAGATATACACAGACACGGACACACACACACACATACACAACACATGTAGATTACGTGTACTAGACTTACACACAATGTACACCTTCATACGAATTACATACACATAAGACCTACAGATAAACACGCACACTAATTACACACCGTTACGTACAAGATGTACACACACACACATGCGTAATACGTACAAAATTTACACAGATCATCACGCACACTACATACACTTATGTACAAGATGTATGTAGCAAACACGCACACTACGTACGAACAGATTAAGTAAATAAGTGATTAATAAGAAAACTTTTAATATATTTACAGTTTAGAAAATTTGTATACATTTTCCAACTTTTATGATTATTTTATTAAAGTTATATTTTTTGTTGTAGGTGAACAAACCAGTGAATGACGAAGGCATAGGAAGTTTCGGCGACTACAGATGTGGTGGCGAGACCAGTGATGTAGAATAGTGATGTGGCCACACCTTACTATGTCGACGGATTATTTACATTATATTCTACATACATAGCTGTGGAAAACTATCATATAATAATATATTCCTCTCTGAGATAGTTTCAAGTATAATCAACTATGCCAAACCGCTACTGTTATCGAATAAAATTTTTAATATCGATATTTTTATCAATTAGGCACGTCTCTGTTACACGCCTATGATATAGGTATATCTGTTGTAATCATTCTTAATGCATTTATTGGTGTATGGCTATTCAATTGTATATATTTTTATAAAATATATATAAATGTTAATCGAATCTTTTAAATATTTGTTATATGCTCGTTTTATTATTTTTGGGTTGATATAAGTGATTGATCTGTTCTATCTAGACTCTGCCAAATTCCTATTGTATAGACTTGACCATATCTTCCTATGAAAATATATGTAATGTTAAAAAATATTTAGGCCATAGTGGTTATGTGATTTCAATCGTTTTATATAAAACCAAAGATATATAATGAAAAACTATTATAGGATATGCTATATACAAAATGAGTTATATATTTTAGATAGTAAATAATTATATGAGTAACACTTCCATTTAATTGAAAGATTTTGATACAATTTTTTTTTATACTATGAAACATTCCCCACAAGGAATAAGCTGTCATTCCATACCACAACAAAGAATTTTATCATAACGAATCTCAATGTATGATTTATTTTTGTATTTTTTTTTAAGTATTAATTAAGGTATTGTAAATAATTAAAACTTGCCACTTTCTGTCACATGTTTCCTTAATTGTTATAGAAATGCGTTCAATTTAAATGTTAATGAATTATAAATGTGTACACCATACTGTTAATTAATCTTGTTATACATTGGTGGAATATTTTGCAAAGAAATCATGAATTTAATTAAAGAATCTTTGTTTTTGTGATCAAATCAGTAACTCAAGCTTTACAACGAATTGATAGTGATCTTTTATTAATATTAAAGCTCTGTTAAAATGTATGTTGTTGAAATGGTACTGAATTAATTTGAACCTTGTGTGTGCCATTCGAATAAAATCTTAAATGGACTGTAGATATTTAACTAGTGTATACATGTTGCGTTCATAAGGGATATAATACTCTGAAATTAATAAAAAAAAATATGTTACGTCTGCTTACATCTTTTATTAAAACCCAAAAACCCACACCGAGGAAAGTAAACATTTTTCATTGGTTAAAAATCTTGCGTTATTTTATGCAATTTAATAGATGGTGTTGCCATTAGTTATTCAGAATTAATAGATTTATAATATATATCATCTGTATTATTGATAATTCATTGAAAAAAAATACCCATTGCAATGATTGAATTATAAACGAATGATGCTATAAATTAATTAAAACGATTAATTTTATGTGAATCAAAAAAATAACCCAATGAAAAATATTGAACATCAAAGTCATCGTACAGTCGATATTTGACTTTTTCATACACAATATGGCCGGCATACCTGTATGAAGTAGTTAGATCAACATAAATGCACTCCGTTCAGAATTCTACTTCCGTAGTAGTAAAATGAACTCGTCTCGCAAATATTAAGAGGACTTTAACGTAAACAATGATTTTAAAACAATTATACTAACGAAATTATAAAATAAGAGGCGATTTGTATTACAAGATAGGTGTAACCTAAAACAAACTTTCGATAATTCACTTATAACTTAATTGAAGCTACAAAGCATTTTGATTATCTTCAAATATATAGACGAATTAACTATTGGTTGTTTATTTTAAATTCTTACTCCATGTAAGTGAACCTAATTTGAGAATATATGTTTAGTTTATGCCGAAATTAGACCACAATGAAGGCTGGTTGACGGATGGTGACGTAGTCGGTGTAGGGGTGCTGCAACCAGCTCTACCGAGGAGCAAACTTGACGGCGCGCGGCGACGAGATAATAGACCACCGCGGTCCATACCTGATGAAGAAGAACATGTAGAGAGCGTAGATATAGTATGTGCTGGAACATTATTAATTGTAGATATCGTGTGTATAGATATAATATATGAAAACAAGGCTGTAATGTTAATTTCGAAAATCTGTGCTGAATTTTTTTGCACTTTGCTGCAAGCTAAATATTTATAGTCATGCTAAATCTAAAGCTAAATTGAAAATCTAAAAATGATACATTTATGAAAATCCGATTCCGGACTCTTTTTCTGGTCCGGTCTAATAACTGGTCTGTATTATTTAAGCAACCATTCCTTGTCCAAAATCTTTGATATATTATAATATAAGCATTATCTTATGCTGTGATTGATCTGTTTGATTTAACCGATCGTTTCCACATCTCTATACGTAATCGTCATCTTTACACACAAGTTGTATATCTCACCAGCTTCTCCATTCTCGGGGCAGTACTTGATAGTATGAGCCCTGTCGCCGGTAGCGCCGCATCGTGGACAGCGGAAGGCTCTCAACACGGGACACTCAACACGTCCGCGCCAGTCCTTCAACGCGTGCGATGTATACGACTCTTCGTTCTCACCGTTGTTTTTGCAGAAAGCACACTCCTAATAAACAGATATATAGATAGTATGAAAAATAGATTTAAAACAACGAATTATTGTCTTTGTATTGACAAAATAGGGTACTAATTCTTTTCTAATAGATAGAAAACTATACAAAAATCGTTTTTTCACTGTCACGGTACATTTGAACAATATTTATATTATCACTACCATGAACAAGCACTTGACTTTCTGAAACTATTCTTTAAATTCGTAAAACATTGAATTAAAGTATATAAACTTATGTACCGCGTTACTAAAAATGAATTTATATTAATTTCCAGACATATAATGCAGTTATAAGCAGTATAAATGTTTCTCTTACTTCAAATTATCTAAAGTTCAAATTACCTTCATACCTCGTCTGCCCGTAATCACGGTTGCAACGAAGTAAACGGAACGTCGGGAGTATGTATAATAATCCGAAAATATAAGTATCATTCAATACTTAACAGCTAAAAGCTACTGAATTTAATAATATAATACTTCAGAAAAGAATAAAATGTTAATTATTCTATTATAAAACTTACATTAGGCAGAGCTCGTCTCATTCGTTTGTCGCTACGGACCTTAGCTACTTCTTGCAACATTTCGTACAACAGACTCGGTCTGATACACCGTAATACAGACAACTGCTCTCTAGTCAACATGGACACGTAATTGTTGGCTGCAGATAGACCTATCATAAACATTAATTAGTTAATACACAGTAATACGATTGATTAGAACAAAAAAAAACTTAAAAAGGGACTTTATAATGAGAAAATTACTCATAAGCAATAAACTTACCGAATTTGGTAAAGATAATAATTAATGTTATTAAAACCTTGACTCACGACTGACTTTAGTTATTGTCACAAAAACTTAATTAGCAGTTTTTCTTTTGTAAAATAGTCAATATTAAATTGAATTACGATTTTACTTACTCTTAATAAGGAAATCAAAAGTGTCAATCATCTCTCCATTCCTAGAGCCAGAAGGGGTAGCGCCTTCAGACCATATATTAGAATGAGATCCAGCCATCGTATCTGTTCTACTCCCCCCTGCCAAAATAATAAGAAGAATTACTATATAAAACCATAAATTTTGTTGAAAACGATAAATCTTCAACGAACTTTAAAAAATAGCAAATATATTGCCATTCTTATTGGATAAAAGCCAAAGTCACGGTTTCTGAAAATGATTCATTATCATGTTTTGTTCGAGACATCTCTTTAAAATTCCTACAGTATTTCACTTTAAGCCATAATAAAACGATAATTTCGATTATAAAATCACTCGTACCCATATTAAAGTAATTTTGCGAATTCTGATCCATTTCGTCAAATATTGGCTCGTTGCCATTAATGCGGAGATTCACCAAGACGTCATCTAAATCGGCGGCGGAGGGCGCTGAAAACAAAATACACTTTAAATACAATTATAGTTAATATCCTAACCACAAATTTTCATTCGTCAAATTACACACAGATAGTGTCTGCATATCTTTTCAATTATAAATATATGAAGCTTTTGTATTAAATTACGGCTTCATTCGATATGAATGAAAAACTAGAAATTTGGCACGTAGTTTAAAAATACAAACAGGTAAAAATATTTTTCCTCAAAAAACGTCCAGTTACGAATTACTATGTACTGCTATGAATCTCAACTCGTAAACCTGTTGTCACAATAAAATAAAAAAACACGTAGTAAACCGAAAATATTAGTTTTAAATTAGTCTTACATCTCACTATATACAGCCAACGTTATAATTATATATAAGAGCAAATAAAATATATAAATAATCACAGACCAGTATCAGCGGCTCGTGGTTCTTGTTGCATCATATTGAGTAGACCATTGTTAACTCTGCTCTGAAATGGTGCAGCGAGAGGTGAAAACGCACTGTCTGAAGCGTTGATAGCTCTTTCCGATTGTGTAAAACTTTCCTATAACAAAAACTCATTTCTCAATCAATCTCCTTAAAATTTCAATTCATACATTAACTATAGATATTTAAAAATAGAATATTGTAACGAAATAAACGAAATATTTAATAATAAAGTCAAAATAATATCCACTTACCTTATTTGTCATACATTGATTCTCGCTGGCCGTCGTGAATAAAGGTTTCTCTTCGTCCATATTATAATTAAATTGCAGTGAATCCATAGTTTAATTAATTACGTGTAACGCCAAACGCCTCCCGTATTTAAAAGAAAGTTCCAGAGCCGGCGACACAATATATACTAAATGTACACACAGATATAAATCTATATGCAGTTAACGAGTGACTTACCAGTTGTTCAACTCAATATACCCTCAAAGCAAAATATAACAAAAATTAACATAATCTATGAACTTGGTATGAGAAACAATATTAATTTTAAAGTATTTAGTCCTACGCTTAGGTACTATAATAATGAAATATATCACAGCATCGATCTCATTCACTTTTTTATTCATTTTTAAATTATATGAACCTCTTGAATAAATAGAATAAATACAGAGAGTTACGACAACTATTTCAATCAATACGATGTATTAACAAAATTCGGAATCATTTGATTTAATTGACATCTAATAGTACGATTCAAATATGGGAATCTGGCATAATAATTTATAAAGAATACTTTAATTTAATGTGCGCCATTTCATTCGACGATTACTCATCTTATTTTATGCTTGATATATTCGTCTCGATTCTTCTATCACCTTTGGATTAAATTTCCTAAGTTCATTATGACAGTGGTCGCTCGTTATAATCATTAGCGTAAACAAATGACAAATATTAAAAACTACCCTCAATAAAAATGTTACTTAGCCTACTGATTACTAATAACCTATTCTTTGAAATCCAATTCTTTTTTATATACTTTGAGAATTCTTTAATATTTTGAGAATTAAAGTGCCTGGTTTAATTAATGTTTTAGATAAATTTATCATCACTTAAAAGATTTTTTGTCACAAAATTACCTATAATTAGATGAAAGAAATATATTCTAAATATCGAAAAAGAATTGAAATAAGTAAAAAATCAAGTTATCATTTATTATTGTAGCAAATTTTATCTTATATTTAACTTTAATTGGAATTAAATATTTAGAAAGATTTAATAATAATCAAAAATATACCCGTATTTTAAAAGTTGTCTGTTTGTTAAGATATTTTTGTATATTTAATACATTAATAATCTGTTTTTGAACCTAATTTTTTTAAAGAGTACCTCGATATATAATTATTTAGTTGAAAACTTGATAGTCTAGTTTTATTTACCTATATACTAACAAAATATCGTATTTATTATATTATAAAACGTATATATATAAAACGTGTGGAAGGAATTTTTTTTTTCTAAAACAATTAAATATCGATTGCATGTATCATTATTAATAGTAAAGAAAATAACTGTATGATTAAAATGGAAATGTATTCTTATATTTACAACAAGCTGTGCCTTCGACTTCGTTCGCGTGGAATAGTGACTATGAGCAGCGTTTTTTTGACATAACTTGTTTATTTATGAACCGATTGACATGAAACAAACACTAAAGTATAACTGAAGCATACCACAATATATTCGTGAAAACAGCATCCGACTCGGATCAGCCGTTTCTGAGATTAGCGTGAACAGACAAACGGACAAAAAAAAAGTTTATTACATTTTTGGGTTCGACACCGACATGACAATAACCCCTGCTATTTTTTTATTTTTATTTTCAATGTACAGACAGCACTTTTCTACAATTTTATTATATGTATAGATTTAATAAGATATTTATAAGCGACCTAATAAAAATTTCGTGATTATCGAGAATTCGTCTTAAGTAGGAAATTATGAATTATTTTAAGTCAATTCTTTGGTAATTTCTATGTTTCTTTTTTAAATATTGCGAACTTATTGTCTCAGTATGTAGCTTATAACATTTCTATACTAAACAACCACTTTTTAAAGTTTTCACTAATAAATCCTTGGAAATCAAATTCATTATGACTAAACGGATCATTTTTCGTGAATATAAATTTCAAAAAGTGCTCCATATTAAATAAGATTACTATTAATTTAATAAACCGTCTATTGCGAAATTTTCTTATATTTTATAACACTATCGAACAATTTAATAAATAGAAAAAATCAAAATATAAAATGTGCTTCAATAACATCGTAAATAAAAATAGTGTACAAGTAAAGAGCAACGCTATAAAATAATTTTATAAAATAGTTTTTGTATTAACATTGGTTATATGATGTAATCATGTAACTCGATTCTTGATAATTTATTTCATGAGTTTTAAAACGTCACATTGTATGCCATATAATACGGAATCCACAAATATATACATACATATAATGTCGTGAAATAAAATCCAATATTTCTTTAAATAAATCGTAAGTACCGTATTAGTATAAAATTTATCACTACTAATATTATAAATGCGAAAGTAACTCTGTCTGTCTGTCTGCTACGCTTTCACGCCTAAACCACTGAACTGATTTTAATGAAATACAGAGATAGAGTTGACCTTGAGAAAGAACATAGGATAGTTTTTATCCCAGACTTTTAAAAGGTTCTCTTGGAAACGCGATATAACCGAACTCCACGCGAGCGGAGCTGCGGGCGGAAAGCTAGTTTAATATAGTTTAATAAATTGTAAATCTTAATAACATTTATTGATGTCACTGAGTTTAAATGACTTGAAACTTTTCTCACATATACCTCGTCACCGTCATCAGCCTATCAACGCCCACTGCTGAGCAAAGGCCTCTTTCTCACATGGAGAAGGTTTGAGCATTAATCACCACGGTTGCTCAAGACGGGTTGGTGATTTCAAACTTATAATTGTGAAACTATAAGTCCTGGTTTCCTCACGATGTTTTCCTTCACCGTATGTCAGTGGTGTCTAAATACTCTCAGAAAGTACATATGACTCCGAAAAATCACATTGGTACTTGCCAGGTTTGAACCCGCGCCCTCGGCAACGAGAGGCGGACCCTTTAACCACTAGGCTACCACTGACTATATATACACTCACATATACCTACTTGAAACTAATTTTTGCAATCATCTTTGATTAACGCTTTATTTAAATGTAATTAATTACAAATTTGCCTTCGACTACAGAGTACAGATGACCAAGTACATAATATATAAAGAGTTTTCTCGCTTAACTACTATATACAAAACCTTATTGTTTACCCAGTTATTCCTTTTTAGCGATAACAAAATATAATGAGATGTCTGAAACAGATTTTATAACAATAAGCTTTTTTGGTTAGTCGATATTTTTCTTAATGAACTAAAATTTTATATATATAAAAAAAAAAGTAATTTTGGTCTTATTGTCTTCAAGCTTACATTGTGTAGGATATTGTACTAAATACTAATATATGTTTTTTTCTTTTATTATTTTATTCAAATTTCATCATTCCGTCCAACTGACTCAATTCTTTTTTTGTCAAGAGAAAAAAAATAACAAACTCAAATCTGAACTAGCCTTAGTTGCAAAGCAAAACAAAATCTGTATTATGCATATAATATGTTATATATCAAGTAAATCTTCTTTCAGTCCTGTCATCAAATATCTTGATTTCTATGATTAATTAGTGAACTTAAAATTGATAATACCTTTCACATATATAGAAACAGAAAAGAACGTATTTGTTCGTACGAAAATGAGTAATAACGTCTTATTTGTTAATCAAGGATTACTTAAGAATTAACGAAAGAATTCTTACATCTGAGTTGCCAACTAGAATAATAATTCCTCAATAAATCAATTTTAGAACTTTATATTTCTTTAATATGGTTAAAAGCTATAGTTACGCCTTTTTAATTAAGTGTTGGAGTTATATTATATGTAGTTTGGCTCTTTAAGCGTCGACGCTCCGGTCGCCTTCGAGCCGGCGTTACTCAGAAATAAATCAAGTATACCCTCACTTCAATCTTTTAACACGTATGTATGGTTTTGTAATGCACCATTTTTAATATCCCCAATATGATATTAGATGCTTAAAACATTACCAAATTTCTCATATTTTTTTGTTTCTTAAAAATAACTTCGTTTTCTCTACTGTTATTTCTAAAAAAATATACATTTAAAATTACCCTCTTTTGCGTCAACTTAAAATATTCTGATATATACCTACCAGATATTGTTATTAAATGTAGAAATGAAACAATTTTGCAATCAAATATTATTTATTAATAAGCGAAATAAAACTAATAAGTACTCTTAATAATTGCATATCCGATGAAATACTTAAGACACACAAAATATATTGTTCAGTTGCCTAATAATAATTGTCACGATCAAATAACAATTCTCATATTACATTGTTAACATTACATTATTAATTAATTAATTAAATGTTGTCCCGCTGTATAAGAAGTACAATTGTGAATATATATTGCACAAACACTTACAGTTACGAATGTTCGAGCAAGGCGGAATATGTATTGTAGACGAATGTACAATATTATCACAGTCTACAAGCAGGCGACGCGGAACATTTAATCCGTTTAATATTATGGTAATACTTAATGTCACATTGAATAGCCGTCACTACAGCTATTGATTTTGTAAAACTACACCCCTACCACCGGTCTGCGTGGTCGAACTGAATAAGGAGAGTTTCTGGTTATTAGTAGTGAATCTTCGTAGGTGTTATTGTGAAGTCGAAACGTATTGGAAGCGCTGTTTATTTAGTTCGACTATGTAGACATGTGGTAAGGGTAGGCCCGAATTAGTCGGTGATGTCTACGTCTATGCTTTGTATGAATGGTTGGTTAAAGCAACGTCAGCTGAGGCGGTATAATTGTGATGTGTTTAGTTCTCGCTAGCTGTTGGTGCCGATGCATTTGTGGACGTACGCACTAGCGGCCTCGTTCTCCTCAGCCTGCATACATGTCTGACCTGGCTCACAGACACAGCTAGAAAAACATAAAAAAATGATGAAAATAAACAATTAAAATGTTCTCATTGGATTAATAGATAATAATGATATTTTTTTATCTGTATAAAATGTTAACTAACTATGTATTATTGACATTCATCTCTATCAAGTTCTTGTACGGCTTCTTGTATATGGCCCAAGCGCAGGGAGTCTGCGGCGCACAATACCGCTGTGGCTCCTGAGACGTCTGCTCACGCTGAAAAAAAAAAACAATACAACCTTCGTGGTGCAAACTATTTTTTATCTGTGAGAAATGTCACTTAAATGACATTATAAATTATTACGTAGTATATTATAAATTGGTAGGCAGTATGGATTAAGATCTTAGCCTGTTCATACGAACGAAATAAGAAAAAAAATAAGTAGTATTGAATGAAGCCATAACATAAAAGTAGTATTAAATACGACAAAATCAATATCAGAGTTCTAAAAAAAGTACAGAATACATTCATTACAATGATGTTTTCTCAAGTGTGAAGTTAATAAAGTTTTTCATTGGTAGTTGTAGTTGTAGGTATCTTTGTATTACAATGTATAAGATAAGAGCGTCTCAAAGGGCATTTACAAAGAATCAACTATGTTTTATCAAAGTTCAAATTAATGCGTCAATTGTAATTCATATCGTGAGAATTACTCCGGTTATAATGTTTTTTAATGTTTTTCTCATAATTTTCATCATCGTTTATTTTTAGAACATTCTTTACGTCAAATGAATAACTGTCAAAATTTCGTATTTTATATATACTTTTTTTGGTTTCTTTCTGTTTGATTTTAGTAATTGTATGAGGTTATAGTGTATTGTATATGTTTTCGTCCTTGCAATCCTAAAATCTAAACGTGTATGATGTCATGAGATCGTAGGACGCGCCCTTGAGCGTATCCGTCGCACCACTAAGCTCGTTTAGTTGATAAGCGTTGACTGTACCGATGTGTTTTATGAATGACTCCTATTATTTCATAGACATTTTAGTTCCCAGCTTCATTACACTACATTGTCATCACCAGTGGGTGTACTCTTGCGTATTTCCTACGCTAGATTAAACATTTTGATCATTACTCATTTCCTATCAAAACTTTTTGGAGATACGTATTAAATAATATTTATAATAATATTTTTATGCCAAATATACGTATAATATATCGTTAATTAGTTTAAATTTTATATAATATTAACAGATAGCTCAAATATATTTATATTAATCGTTTATAAACATATTTATTACGATACAATTTCCGTTGGATGTGCGACATTCATGCGAGTATCCGCCTCAACCGTGAATGCTCCGAATAAAAGAATGAATTGTAAAAAAAATTGATAGTAATCACGTGTAAATAGCTATTGTAATCGAATAACATGTAAACAGGAAGTTGTACTACGCTAACGACACTACGCCGCGGGTCGATGACCAAACGCCATCTTAACTAAATTTGCGTGTTTATCCGCGTGATATATGACACAAATAAGAAAAATATTTAATATAATATTTATATTTATATATGTTTTATATATGTATTTATGTTTGTGTGTGTGTCATGTATATTTCGGTACTGTAAGGGGTACAAACTACAAGCACGTACGTGAGGTAAGTCACGGCACTCTCCACACATCCCGTCATCAATCAATATCCAAGATGATCACTTTTTTAGACTTCCGTTATGAATGCCGTATAATTGAATTGTTACTCCAATCATACAACGTAATTGTAATATATTGATACGTTTCAAAATATCAATTTTAATGTCAAAGGGGGGCCTTTAAAAAACATGTTTTTGTTGTTGTTTAATTAACGTAGACTATAAAATTTTATGACATTATCATATCATATATGTAAATATATGTTTTATAGCTGTTTTCAATTGTACTTAGCTCAAAGATTTATTTACAAACAGCTTGTACAATGATAGGTATTTTAAATGCAAGTTCCTAATTCTTCTGCTCTTATATAAAATGTTTTAATATCACAAATTATCTATCGCTTGGTAAAGAAAAAGAAATTTTATTTTTAATGATTTAAGGTATAAATTGAAAATATTATTTCAAGAATGAAATATATGAACTACAGCGAGAGACAATAAATGGTAATTTTCATACGTCAAATGTAATAGAAATAAATCTGTTTCTTCAGTAGTGTAGGTCAGTAATGTCGAACTATCGACCGACGCAGTACACTACACGGATGCAACAGTTATAGAATATGTTATAAAAAAATATCTTATAAGAATTATCGTTTGTTTTATACGTTATTATAAATTTTAAAAAATAACGATTTAATAGGAAAGAAACAGACAAATTTTCAAGTGTTTTCTGAACTTATTTTACTGTTGTTGTTGAACGGTAAACAAATTTAAAGAGATTATAAACACCTTCACATAAAAAAAACGAAAGAGAACTTGACATAAAAAAAGATCTTTAAACTGCGTAACTTTTAACGTTTGCTATAAACAAGATTGTTTATTTATACAAATTCGCTTTTATCCAATTGTATATAAAGAGTAAATATACTCACCCTATTCCTAGGCGCCATTGAGGCAGCCATCGAGAAGAGAAATACAAAGAAAATCAGTCCCAACTTCATTATCACTAAAATGTGGGTATATTTAAAATATATGAACGTTTTCAAAGTTGCTAAAAAGAACTTACGCGCGTGAGTGAGCGTGCTAGAGTGCCGGCAGCGGGCGGGCGAACGGTTATAAGTAGTCAATGCGAACCCCACCGCTTCACCCGACGACGCTGTCAACATCTCCCTAAGAGAACCTACGCTCATGCCGAGGCCCTTAAACTATCAAAAACAGTTTCAGTAACACGAATACATTAGTTATATATCATACAACATTTACGTATATGAATGAACCAATATGAATATGAGATAACGTATGATACGCACGCGGCCGATCAATAAACCAGCAGGTTGTTTGTTATTTTACTACGAGATCGATGATCTTACGTTTACTTATCAATCGACTCAATAACACACACTAAAATTAACGCCTTAATGTGTTATGTGAAATTAAATATTACGCCGCCATATTTAATTTCTGTGTATTTTTTTCTTAATTTTATTATTACATTTTTGTTTTGCTTGTGACAATAACATCTAGGAATGCAATAAACATTCAAATAACTCCTTGTTTATTGCGTTACAATTGTTAATGACGTGCCTCAGCATAACTCAATAATTATTTCGATTTTGTCGGTACTAAAGTTAATTTTGTTAAATGTTACATTATTATTGTTGTTCTATTTTAATGTGTGGTTAATATTGTTGATGGGACACAGGGCGGCCGCCCTGACGTTTGTTACACCGGTATTGCATCATCCATTGAATAGAATCTATTCCACAGATGCACGTTCTACGTTCACAAGAAAGTCTTTTTAAAATGCATTCCATTAGAGTTTCATATACCACTCAATGTAAAAACTAGTGCAGGATCATATTATTTAGATAATATTTATTGTTTTTATTAATATTTAAAATAGATAATTGAATTACACAATGAATTATTACGTAGGTATTTGTATATACAGCTAATTGGGACACAGTGAAGTTTTATGTAGGTACTTTCAAAAAATAATTTCGTTGGTTGAATTTAAGTCTATATCAATATACAGAATCTCTATTTGAATTGGAAAACTTATGTATAGTAATACTCTGTAACCAGACATAAAAAATAATTTTTAAATGTAATAAAATTTTAAAAAGCACATCTAAATTAAAAACCATCTTGATAAGACTTCTTACGTCTCTCGTAGTACTTAAATTACCTTCTGTGAATAGGATTTTAATTTCAACTGTTATATTTAAATAAATAAACCAGAATTAAGGCAACTTTATGAAAGTTCAAGTAAAAAGTATCCAAAATATCTATATACCCAATTATTAGTAGTAAAAGTTTTTATCAGAAATATTATGAATAAATTTTAAGAATAAATTTTTTTTACTCCTTACACAACCCTCATTATTTTTTCTATAAACGTAAGTTCAGGAATACTAAAGCAATGTAGTCTTTAATGTAGTTACAAAAAAACCACACATACAATGTAAAAAATAAATGAATTGAAGTATTTAATTACTCCATACAATTATCATTGCCACCGATGTGTTCCAGGGTTTACAACTGGTGTCTAATGATACGTAGGAAAATTTTAGACGCACATTTCAACCACGCCATAGCTCTTATCAAGTGATGATTCACAACATTTCGACATAATTTACGATAACGAAGATGTTTTGGACACGAGGAAAAATTTGTGTAAAATGTGCAGTGCTTTTATATGTTCACTGGTGATTTTGTTCTAGTAATAGGTCGATAGTTGGAATTTATATTTTAGTTCCACACAAGGATTAAATTATACCAACGTACTAGATACTCTTAAATTTGATGCAATATTAGAGAAAAATACAAAATCCATAGCGTGGCAAATTCAGCTTACTATTAATAAAAAAAAATTTATATATATTATCTGTTTAATAATCGATGATCAATTATTTTTTTATTTTATACCATTATCAAACAAATTGATTGTTGCCATAAAAATATTAAAATATACATATATCAGACAAGAAATCGATCATCGACACTTAAGAATTTATCCTGCTTACACAATATATATGTTCTCATTAATTTTAGCAGAGATAAAAAAATATTTATAGTAAAAATTAAATAAGGTGTACCATAAAATAAGTACGATAAAAATCTACATTTTACATTATTTGTAAAAAAAACCGAAGCATCATTCATAAATAAAAGTTCTCATATCAGTTCGTATAAATCGTTAAAAAAAATTACTCAATAATACAATGTATATCGTATTTTCCGTATTTTTGCGCCATTCCTAGTAAATCAATCTATTTGTTTTCCGTTTATCGAATAAATAATTACATTACTACATACATTAGCTGACAATGTAATATAATTATGAATGGCTAATTTCAATGTTAAGAAGAAGCGAACTTATAAAGAAATATTGTTTTACTATCTGTGTTAATAACATAATATGGATGTGTTGTGATAAAAATACAAAGACATAATTTGAATTTAAAGAGCTCGTGTAGTTTAGATAGACTTTTTTATTGAGGAGAATAAACTGGAACAAAACAGAAGTTAGAATATTTATAATAATTTTATTATTTAAAACCTTTATACGAAAAAACCAAAGCTGTTCAATACTGCTGACATTGTACTGCATTTTTTTTTTATTATGAATTCATTCATAGAATTTGAGACTGACGAAATGAAACTTTTCCGTTGCTTTAATATTTGAAAGTAGAATTTTGACACAATTCCAAAAGCGAGACGTCTTAAATAGCAAAGTACACAGAGAGTTCCATTCAGTTTTCTTATTCTTCTTACCTTTTGCCAAGTAATGATGTGCCATTGTTACGTTTCAAAGCTCAACCGGAGACCTTGGCTGGCCATGGTAGAAAATATACAGGAGTTATTCCAAGAATAGCGAATGCAGTCACGTATCAAATGTAATCGGGTGCACTGGGACGTATGAAGCTGGGCGACATTAACCAAATACTATTATTATAAGAGACGCTATAATGAAACAATCGATACATTGGCATAGACCATGGTTCGTTTTTTTTAGCCTATCATCAACTACTAAAAGCCTTTTTAATATCAATGAAATTTAGAAGCAACAAATTGACTTTTCGCGATTTTTTTTATGTTCACGACGGACCTGATTTTATTTTTAAGATAATATAAAAATGAAACATACGTCCGGACTCTGGAAACTTTAATTTCCATTGGTTTAAGATTTTATTTTATTTTATTTTTTAAATGATTTCTTTTTTAACTAGATTGCACAATCAAAGTTCTCAAGTAAATAAAAACTACTTTCTATATAAATTTTATTTGCTGATTCATTTGAAATTTTATTTTAAGTTTATTCCATAATCTATATCATTTAAGTAAAGAAAATCCGCTTTCAATATACATCGAAGGTCGCTGTAACCGAGCACATGTGAACACATTAACTTTTCATAAAATCAATCCATACAATTTGTGTTGACTAAAGTCATATTAACGTAAACTGGATGGCTGCCAGATTTCTAACCTACGCAGCAGTCTTTCACCAAAAATTCCCCAGTTTACGATATCCACAAAAAGCCCATGTCACGAGGGGCCTCATCGAGTGACCGTCTGCCCCATCAATAACAAAGTAATTATAGTATTTTATTTACACGTCTGTCTGTGAATCCGTCTGAGATTCACAACTTAGTTGTGTCTCGCCCTGATGATGCGACTTTGATTCGTGAAAGCAAACAACAGCTTTTATATTTTTAGACATCTTAAGAGCTGGACTTATAAATGAAAGTGGAGATTTTTTTATATTTAATGTTAATGAGTTTCGTCTTCGGAGTCCAATTCTGTATGTTAATTAAACAAGATTTTTTTTCACACTCAAATACAAAAAATACGATAGTGTTTGCATGAAGGGCTTACTAAGGGCTTAGTATATAACCTATCTGTACTAGGTTTTTTAATAACAATATCAGTAAGGTAATTCAAGAATCCGTTTCTCGACAAATTATTTCTTCACTTATTCATTGTTGATATTCCGTAAATTATTCCCTACTATTTATGGAGTTTGATAAACTCTTCTTTTATACAGTATTATTTTTTCGTTAAATACAACAGTAGATAACTTTTTCAAGTAAACCTTCGCGAAGACGAAAATTACCATTCAAAATTCCAACTTCCAATACATTTGTTTGAAGTCAGTTAGTACAAAACAGTTAAAAAGATGTTTTTACTTGGAGCAAAAAGTGGAAATAACTAAAATGGTGATATGTTGTTACAAAACATTAAAAAAGTATTATGTTCAATATTCTCAAAAGCCATTTTGAGTCATTCAAATGTCAAATATTTATTATTTACGAGCTTTTTAGTCGCGGTTTCAGTCGAAATGTCATAAAATTCAAAAAAACAATAAAAAGTATTTACACCTTTTCATACGAAGGCATAAGTAAATCGCTATATATTACACGCTTAAAGAAAGTTAAAAAATAACATGGACACATTATTTTTTAGTGTGAGCAGGTGCTAAGTTATTTTATCCTCTTTCTGTTTTAAGAGCTATACAGTAAATTATACGAAAGTTAAAATTGATTTTCATTACTGACAAATTTAATTTTTGTTAGAATTCACAAATATAGTAGTATAATAAATAATAATAACGTAGCTACGAGTATTAAACTTTTTATATACCTAGTGTCCTTAATATGAGTTTTTTCGTGAGACTAAACTCAAATAGTTTCAGTACGTAGTTTTACTTCGTTTGCGTTACTTGATACCGACAGTTAACAGTATTTCATTTATGATATACAAAGATTTATGAAGGAAAACCTAGCAGTAGACTTTTTTATGTAACTATACCAAATTCTGTTAAAGGTACTAATGAAAAAAACATGTACTTTATTGTTTTGAAGTAGATTACTAATTTCGATAAATTCACAGTTTTAAAGGAATTTTAACTTATGTAATACACATAAATAATTATTTAAATATACATGTAATATTAGTCATTTCGTAATTTCAAGTTCATACAGACTTATGACCACAATAA